GCCAAAACATTTTTAATTAGCAGCAGGAGCACATGTACAGCAAGAGGAAGCCTACTCCTCTTAGCCCAGAGACCTCCAGGAGCCCTCAGTGTGGGTGGTTTTCTGGATTGGGATGGATAGAAAGGGCAACAAAATAATAAATATATTCTGTAACATTTTTCATTTTCTGACTTGACTGCTCCAGGAGCACTTCCTGAGGCTTCACTGCTCCTTTCAAGGGGAATTTCAATAATAAAAGCCTCACAAATCATTTTGTAACCGACTTCTGAACCTACCTACCACAAATGATTTTGTTAACTTCTGAACGTGCTCCTGACACTCAGCATGTCCCTGTTACACCATGAAGCACAGGAGGAGCAAATAATCCAGCATTATGCATACAGCTCAATCCAATAAAATGAGAAGGGAAAAAAACACTGATTTTCTATTCATCAATTCAGACTGAATTTCCAGTCCCTTCCAACACTTTGGGACTGTGCTATTTTGCCTGGTGCTCCTCTGGAAATGAGCCATCACTTCTGAGCTCCTGGCCAGGTTTTCTGGAGATGATCCCACCCTGCACCACTGCCACTCCCACATCCTTGCTCGGACTGTCCCTGCCCTCTGGGCCAGCTCAGCCCTGTCCCTGCTGCCTAAAACCCCTGCTCACAGCTGGTGATGGCAAACACTGGACCCATCTGGCTCCACACCTTCAGCAAACATCAGTTCCTGCCCTCAGGATCAGGCTGTGCTCAGGGAGAACCAAGGCAGAGGAGAACACCTGCTTCTCTTAACTCAGCTTTATACACCAGGAGGGGTTTTTTGGAGGGATTATTGATTTTAGTCCAGATGATCTTCTGAGATCTCTTCCATGCTGGACTGGTCTAGAATTAGCCAAATCCTCATTTCTATTTATTTTTCATGCAGATGAGAGGAACCAAAACACATCTCTGGCACTGGGACTCTCACACATGTAGCAATGGGAGCAGTAATTAAACCCAAAACAAGCCCTCACCAACTCCATCTTTCAAGTCACTGCAACAAATTTCCACAGCCAGCCAGTGGAACAGCAAATGAAAATCTGTAAGTACCCAAGTTTTGTGAACAGAAGCCAAATTTTTCCTCTCTCCCATCCAGATACACTAATACCTCCAAAAATCACTGATTTTTTTAAAAAAACCCCAATTTTTAAATAAGTATTGGTCTCTTTTGGCCACCATAATAATATTACTTGTATTTGCTGTACCACCATAATACAGAAATTAGCAGGTCATTTCTAATCTCCTCTTTGCAAAATTTCCAGAACTTTGTAAATTTTCAGGCCCCTGTCATTTATTTGTAATAATACCTCAAAGAATTTTGGAGAAATTCATCACATGTGCTTTGCTGTGCCCTTCAAAAGGCAGAAATAAATGACTTTCTGTCCTGCAGAAGACAGAAAACTCTTTGGAAGAGGCAGCATGGACACAGCAAGGATGCCCATAGCAAGGGCACTGCAGGGCAGCTGTTTCTATTTCCTCCTCCTCCAGCAGCTCTACATAATTTTTGTTTCACTCAACTTTTTAAATACTTATTATTTTGCATTCATTACCTACTATTTAATCACCACAAGAATCATTTAGCAGGGCACATCACACATTCACTCTGGTTAGTATTATGGGCCCCAGTGATTTAGGGACATTTAAGGATATCCAAGTGAGCTCGCTCTGACACAGTGCTCAGGGCAAGAGCAGCATGGCAGAACATCATTAAACAAATTAAATCTGCCCTGCAGGTTTATACTTTATGCATAATTTCAAATAACCATGGCCAGGACACACCATCCTCTGCTCATTCAGCTCCAGCTCATCCTCTCTTAGGGACCAGGCTCGAGTATCCTGATCCAGAATTTCTGTAACGTGGGATTTGTGCACTTCAACAGAAAGAGCAAACCAGAAACTTCAGAGACATTTTTCTTCATTAAGACAGAGATCAGGTACAACAAGGACATCTCACCACAGAACTCTGACTTCCCATCATTCAAGATTTCTGCCAAATATCACACACTTTTACTAAAAGCCCTGTTCATTTCACAGAAAACCTCAAAAATACTTCAATCAAGAGAAAAGTCTCTCTGCAGCACTGCACATGTAGCAGAAATTTCTGAGTGTTGAAGATCCCCTCCTCTCAAAGCCACTTCAATTGTTAAAAGTTTAGTGATGCTCCACACACAGAGCTCATGGTAGGAAAGAATGAATAAAGAGCTCACAGAAAGAATGAAAGTAGGAAAAAATGAATAACAGGAAAGAGGGAAGGAAAGAATTCATGAAGTTTTCCCAGTCTCTACCACGAACTCTCTGTTACAGATAACAAACTGAGAGTGCTGTGGCATCTCTGTGTTTGCACAGTTCTTAGGGATAAATTCTGCCCTGCAAGGGTGGTGTGATGGTTGCCCAGAGAAACTGTGGATGTCCTATCCCTGGAAGTGTCCATGTCCAGGCTGGACAGGGCTTGGAGCAGCCTGGGATAGTGGGAGGTGTCCCTGCCCAGGGCAGGGGGTTTGGAATGAGAAACCACTCTGTGACTCTTTCACCAAATATTTATAGCCTGATGACCAACTTCCAGCTGCAAAGCACCACCCTGGCTCTTTGGAGCTGTACACTCATTCCAGACACATTCTGTTAAAGCCAAGCACATGCAAATAGCCTCGAGTGATAAATATCTGCCAAAGCCTGGTTTCTGTCTTCTCAACTTCCAGATGAAACTTTCCACAGCCAGGCAAACCCAGAGCCCTTTTTCAGTCGCCATCAGGTGACCAAAGGATTCTCCAGCCCTGTAGAGCAGCAGAGGAAATGCAGCTGCTGCAGTGGGAAAGGCTGGAGCTTTATAGGGAAGAACCTACAGCTTCTCTTTTGGTAAATCGTGTGAACAGAGGGTAATGAACACCGGGTGGAAAACAGGATATAAAAGTGATCTAATCAGGTTATTTTTTTTATCAGGCAGCTGAAATACAATTTGGGGCCTTGGTAAAAGAGTCAGCCTCACCTATAAATCCCTGTGGCTTCCTAAAGTTGGCCTACTGCTTTAAAAAGGCTCCAGAGCACATCACCATGCTTATCTCCGCTGATAAGGAGAGGCAAAGATCCAGAACACACAGCACGAGTCCCACGGGCACTTCTGCCCTCGGCACCGCGAGTTGTGTCCCACCGTGCGGACAGAAGGATCCCTCACACACGAGCGCTGCCATCACTCGTGTCCCCACGCTGCACAGCGGGGCGGGTCGGTCCCAGCCCTGCGGGAGCCGGCCCCGGCGGGTCCGTGAGGGGCTGCGCGGGCGGGAGGCCGCGCCGGGGAAGGCAAGGTCACGTCCTTCCCGCCGGGGAGCGCGCCTGCCGCCCATCCACGCGCCATCCGCGCGGGGCCGCCGGGCTGTGCGTGTCCCCACAGAGCCCCCGCTGGGCCCCGGGCCACGCCCGCGGCTCCCGGCTCTGTCCCGGGCTGTGGGCTGGCAGCAGCGGAGCGGAGCTGCGGGCCCAGCGCGGCCATGGCGGCCGACACTACAGCCCCCAGCAAGCAACGCGGCTCCCCGCCACCCATTAAGGACTAATAATCCCAGCGTGCTTTGCGGTGGTGCTTCATTCCGTCCCATGCTGTGCTGCCGCGGTGCACGCTGGGACTGGTAGTACACCCCGCCGACCAGCGCCCGCCCCCCGCCTCCGTTGGCGGCCGCAGCCGCCCGTCAAAGGCTGCGCAGCCAATCAGGGCCCGCGCGTGCGGAGTCATTCAGCGCGCGCCGAGCCGCGGTCACAGGGATTCCTCCCTCCCCGCAGGCCTGGCCCGGCCGCACCGGTCGCAGGGCTGGTCACAGCAGGAGTGGGTCGCGGGGCTCCCCCGGGGAAAGCTCACCTGCTTGGCCGCGGCGAGCCCCGCTCGGCGGCACGCCCGCAGCATGGCTCGGAGCGGCGGCCGGCGCGGCCCGCGGGAAGGCGCCTTGCGCGGGTCCTGCCGGCGCCGCCTCCGTCCCCCCTTCAGCGGGCACTGCGCCTGCGCGGGCGCTCCCGCCCCGCCAGGGGGCGGCCGCGCGTGACGGGTCTCGCGTGGCCAATGGGAGGGCGGGCACGGGCCGCGCGACGCCGGCGGGGCGGGGTGGTGCCCGCGTGCGGGGGCGCGTGCGCCGAGCAGGGGTCGCGAACTCCGGGACCGTCCGGGCGCGGGCGGGACAGAGTGAAATAAAATAAAAATCGCAGAATGGGTCAGGTCGGATGGGATCGCAGCTAGTCGAATCTCCCTGCTTAAGCAGAGCGATCCCAGAGCACGCGGCACAGGATTGCAACCAGACAGCTCTGGGGTGTCTCCAGTGAGGGACACTCCGCACCCGCTCTGGGCAATATGCCCCAGTGCTCGGTCACGGCACTGTGGGAAGTTCTTCCGCACGTTCAGGTGCCGCTCCTGGGCATCAGATTCTGCCCCTTCCCTCATACCCCATTGCCCGGCACCACCGAGCACAGCCCGTCCCTGCTCCGTCACAGTGTACAAATAAATTCGGACGCTGACGGACATGGATGAGGTCTCCTCTCAGGTCTCTTCCCAAGGCTGAGCAGCCCCGTCTCTCTCAGCCTTTCCTAGAGTCCCCCAGTCTGAGTGTAACACAGCACATTTTATAGCATTTATCAACAATTTACAGCTCTAACCTTTCACAGCTCGCTCATAAACCTTCTCACGGTCAGAGCACTCAAGAGCCATTTTTATCTCATCCTTCAACCAGTCCGGCCAGATTTCCGAAGAGAAAAAAATCAGAATACACCAGTAATGTCCACAAGCAATGAGTTAAATCCACCTGGTGGGTTTTTTAAGAGACTTTAGTAACAAGCTTCAAACCCCCTGGGGCGGAGGGTCGGTGTGTGCCGCTCATTGAAGGTGACGGGTGTGAGGCGGGGAAGAGCGGGAGCGGGGAGGACTCTGAGTGTGTGAGGGACACCGGCTCCGCTGCCGGATCCCGGCTCCGCTGCGGCCGCCGCCCCCGTGGGCGGGACCCGGCGCGGCCCCGCCCGGCGCAGCGTGGCCATGGCGGCGGCGGCGGCCCGCGGGGCCCTGGCGGGTCGGTACCGGGGCGGTGTCGGGGCCGGGGCCGGGGCCGGGGCTGGGGCTGGGGGTGTCTGGCGGGGATGTTTGTGCTGAGGCTCTCCCGTGTCCCCGCAGGGATCCTGCGGCGCTGGGCCCCCCGTGCGCTCCCGATCAGCGGCCACTTCGCCCGGTGCGTCGGGCACGCACCGGCCCCGGCCCCGCTCTGGACCCCGCGGCTGCTCGGCGAGAACCGGCCCCGGGCAGGGACCCCCTCGGTGCTCAGCAGGTGCGGCTGCGCGGCTTCTCCCTCGTGCGAAAAACCCTTAAAAGGGGTTTCAGTTTCTCTCTATGTATCTTATATATCTTATATATATGTACCTAATGTATATTTTTATTTGCATACCTTACGCGTTTTAGATGTATTATATTGTTTCATATAAATATAAATAATTTGAAATACTAGACATTTCAAATATATGTATATTTATAACTATATTTTATATGAAAATATATTTATACATAAATGTATTTAGGAGTATATATTTTGTCCCACTACATATGCATTACATAATATGCAATATACTGTGAATTTATTCTGTATCCTATAACATATATAATTTATCATCGTGTGTATTAATATTGTTAATATAGTCTATGTTATATTTAATTATATGTAGTATATAACATATGCAATATGTGTAGTAAATATGTTGAAATTCCTCCATATGTATACATGGATATTGTAGATCATAGTCTGGAAAGGACCTCTAAGATCATCAAGTCCAACCTTTACCCCAGCACTGCCAAGGCCAGCACTAAATCATGTCCTCAAGTGCCACATCTGCACAGATTTTACATCCCTCCAGGGATGGAGACTTGTCCATTGCCCTGCACAGCCTGTTCAGTGCTTGACAACTCCTTCTGTGAAGAAAGTTTTCCCTACAGTCAATCTAAACCTCTCCTGGCAAAATTTTCTCTTGTCCTGTTTGTTTCTTGGGAGAATAGACTGACCCCATTCCCCATATAGATATAAAATAGATAGATAGATAGATAGATAGATAGATAGATAGATAGATAGACAGACAAACACATGTATAATATATAAACCACAGTGTGACACTCTTGGGCACCTTTTCATTTTACAATGAGTCTGTGTTAGCCCCAAAGCCTCCCACTTTAGTCACCATTAATGCTTGAAGCAGGAGATAAATTAGGATAATCTTTGCAGCCATATTTTACAATTAGTGTGGTAATAACTGCTGTTTCTCTTGCTGCTGGTGGGTGTTGGACTAGATGATTTACGAGGCCCCTTCCAACTCAAACTATTTTGTGACTAATATTCTAAAAGTAATTTCTAAATCCAAGTAACAGCTGAATATTGGCTTCTGAGTGTTTGACTGCTTTTAGTAGATTTAAAAAGGTGCTCTGTGTGAAATAATAAGTTTGAGTTGAATTTTGACAAGAGTCCAGCCCTGCCATTGGTATTCTACACCCATTAGATGCTGTGCTGTAATACTGGAGGAGTCCTTGTTACCCTTCAATCAAGCCACAGCTCTTCTGATCTCTGTGTGTTTGATGAAGGCAGGGATTTCTTTCAGAAAAAGGTGTTTCATTCCTGTTCTGTTTCCCTCTTCATTTTGGGTTGGTCTGGTTTTTTTTTAGTGTCACACCTCTACTTCCAAGTTTACTCCAGCAGCCAGCAAGGACCCTCACCTACTGCAGCCTACGGAAAGGAAAGAGGAAAAGTGTGAAATCTGTGGTCAAAAGGTTCCTCCGGCTGCACAACGGCCTCTGGGTGAGGAGAAAGGTGAGATTTTCTGGATAATGAGAGCCTGTTCTTTACAGTCAGAGTAAAGTGTAATTGTTTTCCTTCTCTTGGAGGGCAGTGGCTGCATGGAAGTTAAAAAAGCTCTGTAGAGAGCCTGCCATTTTCCCAAAGTGAGGGATTTATCCAAGTTTGCTGAGCAGTGTGGCTGTGTTTGTGCATTTGCAGTGACCTACTAAGAAATGGGGGTTTTTTGGGGTGTGTTTTCTCCTGACAGGCTGGTTATAAGAAGAAGCTGTGGAAGAAGTCAGCTGCCAGGAAGAAGCGTTTGAGGGAGTTGGTGCTGTGCACCAGGACACAGTGTAAGCTCCTGGATAAAATGACCACTTCCTTCTGGAAAAGAAGGACCTGGTACGTTGATGACCCCTACCAGAAGTACCACGACCGCACAAACCTTCGTGTGTAAATCTGGGCTTTGCACATCTCTGGTCCTGTGGCATGGTCTGGGTGTTGGAACATGCATCTGTACTGCCTGTACTTTTTAAAATAAATATCTGAGCAGAATTATGGGAATCAATGCCCACAATAAAGGAATACTCGAATTTGTCTTCATCTGCTGTTTGTTTTACTTAGCAGAGGTCAGGCTGGTCACCTACACATTCTGATGTCTGGTGGTTTCCTGTGATTGTCTGTCATGGAGGAATACACTAAACAGCACTAAAAGTGAATAATTCAACATACTTAATCTTATTTTTTAAAATAAATATGTTTAAATGACCCCAGAATATATTTTTCTGTATCCATACTAAGTGGTGGCTCACTAAATGGAGTCTTCTGGGGAAGGGGAAAAAAGAGAGCAGGGTCCATCTTAGCATTGTTGCCTGTCACAATAGCACACTATTGCCTTGTGTCCATGCTAGAAAGTGCAGAGGGGAAAAAAACCCCAAACCAGAGTGTCATAGCTACATGCTGGTTTTATAACTGATTTTAAAATGTATTGGCCACCAGTTTTCATTACAGGACTCACATTTTGTGTCCTCTGATGGTTTTTGAGTAGTAGAATCTATTCTTTGTGTCCTGCACAACATCCTCAAGCAGACAAGTCAGGTAATTTCTTGTTCATTTTTCCTTTAAGTCTAAATAGACCTCATACTGCACATTCCTGGTCACACATGAATGGAACAACCACAAGGGTTTATCATGGGATCTCTTTGGAGTGAGCAGATCAACCAGACCCTTTTTTTGCTAAGGCTTGGATCAGATGTTTTCTCTACAAAGCTGATACTCCAGAAAGTGTATGAAAGCAGTACTTTAAAGCATTCCCTGGTCCCCCATTTTTGAGCAGAGTCCCTGGTCATCAGCCCCAGAGCTGCCTGTATAGCAGAGGTGTTTTGCTGTACAGGGCTGTAGCATTTCAATGAATTCACTAGTTACTCAGAGTGTTCAGTAGCTGTATTTTGTTCTTTTTTCCAGTTCATGATACAGAAAGTTCTGAAGGACATGCAGCACTTAGTGAATACATCTATATACAGTCAGCCAGAATTCAGATAAAAATAATACAGCAATCAAAGTGATTATTCTGGCCTGCCAGATACATTGAACAGACTAAAGATGTTTGGTTTTGTTTTTTGTTCTTTTTTTTTTAATAAAGAAAAGATTAAGACTTTATTCAAGATGTATATCAAGCAGTATAACAAAACCAGCAAAACATCAGCCTTTGGAATTCTGTTGGTAATGGCTGTCCTTGTGAGGCATCGAGTGTACCTTTTCTACCCATCACAGGAAAGAAATCACACCAAGTGCACAATTATGAGCCTTAAATAGTTTGTCTAAACGCAAATCCCGATGTGTTCTCTGCTAGTTCAAATGTGCTGGATGCAAAACAGGAACCTGAAACTAACAGCAAAAGGGAGACTGTGGGTGAGGAGCACAAGGGTTCATCACGACACGAGGACTCGCCGGCAGCCAGAGGCAGCAGGTTGTTTACAGGAGAAGTGTTGTCTCCAAGCAGCTTTCTCCCTCCTAGCAGGAATAAATTGCCTGATTCTCTTCCCTTCTGTGCTGGGTTTGCACTTCCACAAGGTTTTTAGGTTGATTCATTCCAGGGTGACAGGGACACATGTGAAGTCTGTCTTGTTATTCGTGGGATCCTGATTCAGCAGTTGGTGACTGCTGGAGCTGTGCTGATGCTGACCCCTATGGCAGGAGAGGAGGCACAGAGGGGAGCACTGGGCTGCTCCAGGCTTATTTCTTCATAACTGCATGATTTTATGTAAATTGGGGAGGTCATTCACAGGCCTGTTTACCACAGACCACCTCCAGCTGCAGTTTCTCTCCCCTCAGCCTCAATTTTATGTGATTAAAATAATGCAGTTTTCACTGGAGCCTTGAGCTGGGTAAAGGCTGTTTCCTTGGGCTGGCCTGTTCTCTTCAGAGTTCCACTCTCTCAGCCCTCTCTGCGACATCAGGACATGCTGCCTGCCCTACAGGACTGATGGTAGGGGCCAGCTGCCTGAAAGGCCCCAAAACTGGGCTTTTTAAATTGAGCCAGATCCGCTATTTTAAACCATCAGCTGAAAGATTGCTTGATTTTAGGAGGGGAGATCTGGAAGTGCTCAACCAGCCTGCACACCCAGAGCTGGAGCGGGAAGGGAGCTGAGAACTGCTCCTTTCCAACACATGCCTAGAAAGCATCCATCCATCCATCCATCCATCCATCCATCCATCCATCCATCCATCCATCCATCCATCCATCCATCCATCCATCCATCCATCCATCCATCCATCCATCCATCCATCTCTCCTGCACACCCCGGTTTGCCAGGAGGGGTCAGCAGCAGCGCAGGAAGGCGAGAATCACCGAACCGGACTCGCTCATTGCCAGAGGCTCCAGAGAAAAGCTGGAACAAAAGAAAGACTTCACGGGTGGTGTTTATCCGGAATGAACACAGCAGCTGTGACACCGAGCTGACAGGCTGGGGACAGCCCCTGTAAACAACCTGTGCGAGGAAGGTGAGGAATCAAAGCGAGTGGCTGCTCTCGTCTGTACAGGGCACTGGAGCACAAGGAGCACGAGTGCACGAGGTCAGGCATTCACATTTCTGTCTATCTATATGCAAATATACAGCTCCGTTGATAATACAGTTTTTCTTTTCCAGAGATATGAAAAGGTTTATTTTTCTCATTTATACAGTGAATGTTTTGAGAGATATAAGGCAACTCCCTTGTCAACATTTCACCTCAGCACTTAAGAAATGCTAAACAGTCAAGTTTACAGTAAAACAGCAGATTAGACACACATTAAATAGTTTTAGTGAGAATCAATGTTAATACAGCGTGGCTGAGATTAGAACTTGTCAGATGTTATGCAGCTCTATGTTGTTGGGGTTATTTGGCATAATTGAGTGCAAACTTGTCAGCTTCTTTTTTATCTTACAGCAGCCCATTGCATAGCAGGGAAGCATGGCTTGCTTGCAACAGGATTTTATTTTCTGCTAACAGTGCAGGCAGTTTTCCTATTTCTTTTTAATGTTAGCCAAAAGAAATCAAATAAACTCTAAAGCTGCTTAGAACTAAAATACATTAGCTTAGCTTCTCAAAGCTTTTGCTGAGTATCTTCCAAGGACCAACTCTTCTGTAACTGCTCTTTAGACAGGTTTGTTTGGGTTTTTTTTTTTTAGTTTAATTTCTGGAGAATTTTTCAAAATTTGCAAAATATGACTGAATCAGCACATGGAAATAAAATTCTCGTGTAATGAGGCCAAATACTGTGGCAGACACAGGAAACACCTGCTTGATTTTCCATTTCCTAGCCAGGTCAGATAAACATTTCTGTGTGCATGTAATTTATTTCTTTCTGCCCCACACATGTAGGAAGCTGTGGGGGTGACCTCAGGGACCCACCAGGTGGGCAGCTGGGATATGGATGCACACCTGGCAGAGAAATGGTTTCAAAGGCCACTTCAGAGTTATCTGTGAGCCTGGCACACTCCAGCTGGCTTTTGGCACCCTGGGCTGCTGCACCTGAGCCAGATGAACAGTGACACCATGGAGCCCCTGTGCTGATCCACTGGTGATGGCACATCCTACATAATGCTAAATCCTTTTCTAGTCTATGTGACAGGTCCAAGAGCAAACACAAAGGGTCACGTAATTAACTTATGTGTGAATCTCACATGCTCAACACTTACAAGAGACACCAACTTGAAGCACAAATACACAAACCCTACCATGTCTTCCTCTTCTTTTATATTTCCCATTTATATATGGATACAAATAAACCACTCCATCTGGTTCTTGTGGTTCTAACCAAACTCCATGCTACAGGAGAAACTCCAGGCTTCAAAAAGCAGCTCAGACCCAGCACCCTCCTCTGCTCATGCAAGCAGAACAGCAGCCCCTCAGCAGCAGAGCAGAGTGCTGGGACTAGCACTGTTGCAGCAGGGAAGAAAGGTGTCTTTTCCCCTGGAAATGCATCACTAAAGCAATTCGAATTTCTGTTGCTGCAGCTTGCTCAAGCCTGGCTTGCTCACACTTTAAAACTCGCAGTAGAACATTGGCCACAAGTGGTGGGATTTAGTTCTTCTATACGTCATTTTCCACAAAATACTCTCCTGGCTCAGGCTGATTGAAATTAGGACTCCCCCTTCATTACATCATTGAAACAATTTTTTTTTCTCTTGCACATCACTTCCTCATCCTCTGTAAGTGGTTTTGTCTCTGTGGGTTTAGCACAATGGTTTTCTCAGAACATGTGATTTACTTGCAGAAAAACTCAGTTGCAGCTCAGCTTTCTCTAACAAATCTTGGACATTTTGTACAGTCAAAGTACTTTGACATTTGTTACATCATTCACAGTCTTGAGGAGGAAGGGAGGAAAGAGAAATCCATGGGTTCTGCAAATCCACTTCATCCATGATAAAGCCATAAATAAATACACTGTCAATGTAGCATCATGAGTAACTGATTATTGTTGTTTCCTCTGGGCATTCACAGAGCAAGAGCTATGCAGACACAAATGAAACTGTAAATGTACACTGTGGGTGGGTGCACATTCTGCAAACCAAACCAGGACCCCTCACCTGCAGGTGCCTGCCAGACTGTCCTACCCACAGCAGGGACAAACATCAGCAGAGTGCCACAGAAGGACGTGGAGAGGGGAGGAGAAAGGCCATGTCTACAGTGCTGTACATCAAAGCACATCCATCCCACTGCTGCTTCCTAGGTTATGAACAAGTAGCTCTTTAAGGCAGAAGAGAGACATTCTGTGGATCTTGGTGCTATTGGCTCATTGCACTCACATTGTTTCAGTGGCAGAGGACGAGGTACTTTTCTTCCTGAAGCGAGGTCTAAGAGTCCTAGGCGGTGCCTGCAGAGAAATGAGACAAAACTTCAGAGGCGTAGTAGGAAACATCTTTTTATTCCTTACAACACACCCATCTTTGGGGGACCTCTGTGAATAGGATCCCATTCCACTCATGAAATAATGCAGAAGTTTTGGTCCTGAAGATCAATGAATGGCCAGTTGAGGACTAATCTCTTTAAGAAACCTGTTGTACACCCAGGTGTAATTAACACGTTCCTCTCTGGTTCTTGATTAGAGGTGTGGCTAACGATTGCTAATAACTCAACAGTTGGAAGAGCCAGGTCAAACTGGTGCCATTTACAGCAGCTCATGAATCTAGAGATCAAACAGGTGGCAGGGAGCCAGCTCTGGTGTCTCCCAGCCCATCCTGCCCTGTCCAACCCATCCACAGCTCCTCGGAGGGTACAGCTCATGGCATTACAAAGCTGAAGGGTTTCCCAAGATGGGACACACAAGGACTGTAATTCTCATGAGGTAGAACTCCTTAAAATCACCCTCTCGCTTGGGAAAGAGGCCAGACAAAATCTGTTGAAATTATTTTAGAAACCAGCTATTGGATTTCTGCCTTGTAGTCAGCTGGTGCAGAGCCCTTACAAGGAGCCCTGACTACCCAGGAGGAGGCAGACCAACTCCAGGAATTTGGTTTCCTGTGGTTAACCCTGTTCTCCAGACTCAGACAGACATTAGGCCAGCCAACAAATGAAAGAAAAAGCCCTAATCTGCTGTGTCTACTTCTCTCTGAAGAGTTCTGGAGAGGCATTGTGTCTCATGAGCTTCACAACAAGAAATGGTTATCAGATGTTTTACCAGGGCATGGATTCTCAGTGTGGAGGCCTGCCACTGCATCAAGTAACACTGCAAGGTGTGGTAGGATCTTCTATTCCATTTACATAAACATCCAAAGCCTTGCTTTCTTAATAGCCATTAACCCATATTTACCTGTTAGGGCCTGACAGGACCAAAGCAAGGACTTTTCTTTAACCCATATTTACCTGTAAGGGCCTGACAGGACCAAAGCAAGGACTTTTCTTTAACCCATATTTACCTGTAAGGGCCTGACAGGACCAAACCAAGGACTTCTCTTTTTTCAGGACTTTCAAACCCAAGACCATGCCCTGTTTCTGCATTGCCATGATGCAGCAATGTATAACTATTCATGTAGACAAGGGACAGCAGCACGGTGAGGTTTTGTTTAGATTACACCTAAATCTCCATTTTTTCTAGCTTGACCATAAACCCAAGTAGTTTCTCCAGAGATGAGATTAATCCAACACTTCACCCCATCTTCCAAGCCTGAAATGCAGGTCCCTGCAGTGAATCCCCACCAGCACAGCAGATCTGGATGGGATCTGGAGCAGAGGTGAGGAGCAAAGCTGCTGTGTAGAGCAGCAATGGATCCCACAGCACACCTGACTCCACAGCTGCTCAGAGGAGCTCTGTGTGAACCAGGGACACAGCCAGACAACTAGAGCAGCAGCTCCTGCAGCCTGGGAGAAGGCTGCTCTTGGGGAAACCAGGTGGCCCTTAAAGCAAAGCTGTCATGAACTGCACAGCCAAGGCCCTTAAATGGGGCATGAACAGCTCTGCCTCCTTTGGGAGGCCACTGGACAGCTCTGGGAGTAGCTGGAGAGGCTGCACCTTTCCATGGCTGGAACAGAGCAGCCCAGACTTTGGTGACAGCCCCCACAGGTAGGACAGCCCAGCAGAAGGGATTGCAGCTGCTGGCCAAACCACACAGCTCTGCTCCCTCACACTGAGCCAAGGGAAGGACTTGGGAGGCAACAAACTCAGCTTCCCACAGGTGGAGATCTGCTGGCTGTGCCTCCATCCACCCTGCCCAGATCTGCAAGGAGTCTGCCTACAGCATCTCCCACAGAGGTTTTATTTCCTCCATAAGGAAATGTTGCTAAAATTTTGGCAAATCAGAGCAAGGTCTGCATTTCCTTTAGTTCTTTTGTTCCCATGAAGCAACTTAAAGTGTATTTAGTGAGTTTAGACCAAAGAGAGGTGTTTGTTCAGTTGAAGATTCCAGCTGAAGAATCAAGGAATGTCATAGAAGGAGGAGTCTTGACAGTATGGAAGTACCTCAAGGGGTGGATCCTTCTTTTTGGGCCTTTTGTTCATGGATGCACAATCATTCTCTTCATCATCTGAGAACACTGAGCCTTTTGTTTCACAGTTTGTCTCAGGTGGCTTCTCATACCTAATGTCCACACTTAATTCACCTATTTAACACAGCCATTTGCAGCCTAAATGTGGAGACAGGGGATGAGGAAATCAGTGATGGTTTGGTTCACACAAAGGTCACTCACTGCAAAGCCATGCATCTTCCAGGGATTAATAGGCAGAAGAGTCACACATCACACTCTAATAATAGCAGCTGTGGGATTAGAAATCAGTAGGCTCTTGTTTATAAAGCCATGATAAAGTCTATTTTGATTATTTTACACAGAATTGAGACTAAATTCACAGCTTTTGATGTTTGGGAGGTTGACACTAGAAAGAGATTTTTTGTTTGTTTGCTCAGGTATAAATAAAATAACTGATTTCTTGAATTGCTGGTTCCATCCATAGCTCCTGCATCTACTGCTTCCTCTAGAAGACTCCAAATGGGTGTTGAAGTCCTCTGGCAAGCACAGAGAGAGCTGCCTGGGATGCAGAAATAGGAAACAGCAGCACTTACTGACTTGAAACTGAGAGTGGTCAAGGCAAGCCTTGTGGTCAAGTGGTCAAGGTCAGGTCAAGACTCAGTCTGAGATCCACTGAAGTTCTCAAAAAGCTTCACCAGGCACTGAATGGACCCTCATCAAGTGGGTGTGCTGCTGGAAAACCAGTGCAGGGAAAAGTGTCTCTTCTTTCACTCTGGAGTAAGTGTGGTGGTGGAGCACTGGCTCTGCTGATGTTCCTGAAGGCAGTTTAGGGCCTCAAAACTTCAAACCACAAACACTTGGTGGTTCTTACCCTTGTAACTTATGGCACACTCTTTGTGGGACTGGTTGTGCTACACAACACAATCCATTTCCTGCCTAAATACACACAGTAAATTTTTAATGAACAGCCCAAAGCAAGAGGTACAGAAGAGGAAAGTCAACATGACCAAGTTTCCTGTTCTCCATGGTTTCTTACCAGCAGGGCTGGAGGTTTCTCTGGAGGTTTTAATTGTTTTGCTGGATGTTTAATTGTTTAATGGAGAAGGCTTTTTTTATTCCAAAAAATGGGAGAAGGGGAACTATTTGCTGTTGAAGTGGCACTAATCAGAATTACTGGGTCTATACTTCATTGCATGAACATACATAGAAATAATGCTCTGTTCTTCTTGTCTCAGCCTGACTGTAAGAGTCTGCTGGACCAAAGACTGAAACCAAAGAGGATTCTTAAACATCTAATACTTACTAATCCCTTTTGATTCTTAAAGCCCAAAAGAACTGAATTCTTCGACAGCTCTTCCAGTTGGGTAACAGACAGGGGGGAAATTATTTGGCCACAGCAACACCACAAGTCATGAGCAGGTCACTGGGGCTCTCCCCAGTGCCAGATTAAAGTCAGCAGCTAATCACTCTCAGCCCACAGGATGCAGCTGCTGCTCGAGACAGCAGCCTGTGCACACCATCCTCTGCCCACTGACCCTGTGCTTCTACCCCTTTATCACCATTCACATGGGCAGGCTGGAAAACACCACTGCAGGTTTGCAGGAAGAGCTGGAAGTTGACTTTTTCCCCAGCTGTACTGAAGATGTTGATAAGCATGTTGCAGAGAGGCCCAGGATAATGCTGAAATGTTTTTATTCTGTGTAGGACTGTAGTGTGAACACTGCACTGTGGGCAGGATTAAATGTTCTCTAGACCACATGGCAGAAGAGTACAGGAATGTTTTGGTTTACTACTTTATCCCTCCACTTGGGAAGTGATCTACCCAGGAGCAGACCCTCTCTTAGACCCTCTCTTGGCTTAGACCCTCTCTTGGCTGTGGAAGCTGTTCTTTGCTGCCTGCCTAAGCCAAATCAAAATTTAGTCAAGTTTAGTAGAAGTGGCTCAGAGCTTCTTTTAATGGCCTCACTGAGGTTGGCACAGTGGCCCAACAACACAGTTCCAGCCATGTGCCACTGAGAGCAGAAAGGGGCTTTCACCAGGGAAAAAGGGCTTGGAAAGGGACAGGATGGAGGGGTGTTGGAGACCCAGAGCTGGGGTGGTCAGTGACCAGAGTGAGGAGACACTGGCTGCTGAGGCTGAGGGAACAGAATCATGGCAATGTGCCATGCTGCCATTCTACAACCAGCCAGTCCATGGCAAAGGAGCCAGAAGGAGCTGTCAGCCTGACAATGCTTCTGTGAATCCCACAGTTTTGCAGCACACATTGATGTCACCTCCACAGCAAGCACAGTCTCCTGCAGGTTTTCCATTCTCCCCATCAGTCCAAGCATCACATCCATGTCCTGAAGCTGCTTCCATGAAGATCAAGAGAAGAGCTCAACCTCCAAGCTGGTGCATGCTGCTTTGATCCCTGCAGCTGAGAGGTCTGTAAAGCTCACTGGAAGTTGGGCTCATGCCCTTTTCTTCCCTGCTCCACGTCATTGTGAGTGGGACACTGAAAACCACCCAAATGGGAACCAGTTTAGCTTCAGCCTCACTGAACTGGAAGAAGGAAGATGGGCTCTCCCAGACTTTTCCACCACTTTCCTGGCCATGGATGAGAAAAGATCTTCAATACACACATCACTTTCCTTCAGACCTGGAACAAGAAGGGAGGACTCCCTGCCCATCCTGCCTTGGGAATTGTGAGCAAGCCAAGCTCATATTGATCTGCCAGGCTTTGGGGTGCCAGCCTTTGTCCCACATTTGTGGAAGCATTCTGCTGTTGTGGGATGGCAGAGAACTCATCTCCAAAAAGCAGCTGCTGTGTGAGCCCCAGCTCTGAAATTGATATTTTTTGTGAATATGGTGATGATATGATAGAAAATGGATTTTCTGACACCAAGAGAGTGAGTAAAACTGTAAAGCAGGGGTTAATCAGAAGAACAAACACACATGTGAGGAACTGCTGAGAAAGGAGATGGAGGTTTAAAGTGAATGAAAGTGTTCTGGGACACCAAGGGTTGTTACCAGAGAAGGTAAAGATTGAGGAGCTAAACATACTGTTAGGGCTGGAGCGTGCATTTTGAGGACAGCACTTGGCCTTGGGTGACCTTCTGTGTGTTTGTAAGAGCCATTTTTATGATCTGAGGCTGTGGGGCCTCAGGTCACTATCAGATGTCCCCAGAGCAGCAGAGTCAGCAGATTGTGCTGCTCCAGGAACAGCCAACAAGCCCAGGGACTGCCCCAGCCAGGAGGTGGCTGTGTACAAACATGGATCAGACACCAGACCTTTGCCCTGGCCCTGCTGGGGAGACCCTCACTGCCCATCCCAGGCTGGGCTGTGCTTTAGGTATCTCCACCTGGTACATTTATGGCTCCACAGCTTTGTGTGGAGGGGCTGAATTGCTGCAGAAGTGGGAAATGGGCTGGTGTTCCAGGACTGAAGCTGCTGCTGCCTCTTGCAAACACCTTTTCAGTGCACAGACCAGATTACACTCCTCTCTCCACTAAAGCAAGACAGAATCTGACTGTAAACAGTCTAAGGGAACAGATTATTCCAGTTAATTCCCTTAATTCCAGTTCCTATCATTCCATCATAATTCCTCCCAAGGGAACTGATACAACCAATTGTGTGGGAAGCCCTGAAAATGGGCACATTTCAAGTTAAAGCAGACATTTGAGTGCTCTGCAGAGTTGGGATCTGAGCTGTTAATGTACTTCAGGGAACAACCCAGCATGGAGCAGGAAATGTAGGGCCAGATCAGCACAACCTTTCATCTCTATGATTCAACAAGGGTAAGAAATTTCACTGTCAACACTCTTTCTACAGCAATATCTGGGATTGAGCAGTGTGTGCTGGTTCAGCAATCACTTTGGTTCAGACTCTGATCCATGCTGCCATGTAAATCTGTACCAAATTCCTTTGGATTTTCTTGACAACAGAAGTCAGGACCAGGCCTAAGTGAACAAATGACTTTGATCTAGATCCTCTGAAAAATCTGGACACTTAAGTACGGTTACAGTGAGAATCAGACAACTTTGACATTGGACCTCCCCTTACTTTGCCAGGCACAATATTTCTTTCTCCCATCACTTGAATTCCTCAGGAGCAATGGGGGAAACCACAGTCACAGACTACACAAACCAAGAGTGATGTGTTGTATTATTGTAATGGAAGGTAAAGTGACTCCAAAGTTAAGCCTTTCCAGGGCATCATTCATACAAAGAGGTTTGCACACCACTGAATAAGCACAGGAGAACAGATATTTATTCTACGATGGCCATCAGCTTCTTTCCCCTGCAACAAAGATAAATTCACCATCATTTCCAAAAGACATTGACCCAAGTCCTGTACTCCCCAGCAGTTTTCATTGCCAAACCAAGGAGTTAGGAGCAGCCAACTACACCAGCACACACTGCCCAGGAGCCACCAAACAGAGGCAGACATCCTTTCCAAAGCTGGAGTCAAATGCAACCAAAGCAAACAAGCCTAATTACATCAACAAAGTCATCCGTTAATGAAAACACATCCCACAAATGAGCGAGTTGTTAAGTGCTAGTCTACTCCAAACACCTCAGAGGAAAATTCATGCAATCTGTAACACTTACATCAGAGTCCCATAATATTTACATAGAGAAAAAGAAAGAATAAACTGTTAGGAGAAAACATTTGGGTGCAGAGGGGGAAGGAACATTGTTTCAGAACACAGAAATATTAATCTTTGCTTTTATCAGATCTGTCATTCAGCTGAAGTTTATTAAACAATAATTAATGTTTTCACTTTCTGCTGGTACAATGCAAATGTGCTTAAAAACTTCTGATTTTCTGTGAATTTTTTTCTTCCCTGAAGTAACCAAAATACATCTGAAACTATTTTTAAATCTCAAAAAGAAAATCACAAATTGCTATTCATAAATACCAGTGCAAAGGGATGCAAACCAGCCCCGTAAAAATTTGCTTCAGTGTTTAGTAAAGGGAAATTTTAAGGAACAAAATGCCTAGAGCCACAGAAAATTGCTGTTTGTTCTTTAAGTTCAGTAAGGTTAAAAAAATCCTCAGAATAAGAGCTGGAAGCAAAACTGGCTAAGAACCAAAATAAAACCACCTACACCATTTAATTGAATTAGTTCAAAGATGTACAATCAGCCCCCTTGACATAAAGTCAATTAGTGTTTTTAAAGCACTTTCCACTGTAATAACTCATGTGCACTTCTGAGCACACCACCAAGGAGGGGTTAGATTCAGTAATAGACCAAGGAGGTGATTTATTTAAAGCACAATTAAGTGGATGTCCCATTGAGGTCCTTGGTGAGCTGCACTGATGGCTGGGTGTGATCTGTCACCTTGTGGAGCACAGCCCTGCAGTGCACACCCAAACCACAGCCATTCATCACAAATGTCCCTGCACATTTCTTACACTGCCTAAGGCTTCTGATCACCATTTTTGTATTAAATGCCCCCTCAAATACTTGCAGTCCTAACAATTCTCCTGATATGCAGCTGATTCTTCACTTCATGAGAGATATATTTATTCTCTGCAAAATTAAAATGGTTTCTCCCTCTCAACCATGCCCTAGGTCTTTGCAACCTAAGAGACATTAGTTGAGAGAACACCACCAAACATAATTTTGTTACTTCTTAAATGCTGGTCCCAAGCAAGATTGTTTAATATTGAGCAGCCTTTAAGCATTTGCCAGGCACTGCCAAAAGACAAACAGATATCCCTGGAGATTTTCACTCTGTCCTCTCTGAAAGGGAAAAGGAGCTCTTACATAATTGTACCATTGCTCCTGAATGCTGCAGCCTGACTTTCCACAGAACACAAAGGAGAGAAATCAGAAACTTGGGTTAAAACCTGGAGGGAGTTCCACCAGCAAAGGCCTGGCCAGGAACAAAAGCAAGAGGAGCTGGCATAGGAGCTGTCAAAAAGATGTGCTGGAGTGCATCTGTCAAACAGGCTTGTGGTTTAATGAAGCTGCCCAGGGCAGAGGAGGATGAATATCCTGAATTGCATCCATGTTTTGTCATGTGCAGACTGTGAGGCCAGTGGGAGTGATCCAAATGGGCAGGAAAGGGCTCTCCTGTGGAGCCAACAGCTTCAGCACAGAGAATCTCATCAGTGCTGACAGGGACAGACCTGCCCCAGAGCAGAGGGGCCCATCAGCTCCCTGGGGTGCTGTTCACAGGGGCCCCAGGACAAGGGAAGAGATGAGAATCTTGACTCCATGTTTCAGAAGGCTGATTTATTATTTTATGATATATATTGTAAGGAAATGATATATTAAAACTATACTAAAAGAATAGAAGAAAGGATTTCATCAGAAGGCTAGCAAGGAATAGAAAAGAATGATAATAAAATTTTGTGACTGATCAGAGAGTCTGCAACAGCTGGACTGTGATTGGCCATTAATTAAAAACAACCACATGAGACCAATCACAGATGCACCTGTTGCATTCCACAGCAGCACATAATTATTGTTTACATTTTGTTTCTGAGGCCTCTCAGCTTCTCAGGAAAAAAAATCCTAAGGAAAGGATTTCTCATAAAATATGTCTGTGACAGCACCCAGCCCAGCACCAGTGCTGAGAGGGACAGTCCTGCCTCAGAGCAGAGGAGCCCATCAGCACCCAGCCCAGCACCCCTGACAGGGACAGCTGCAGCTCAGGGGCTCAGCCTGGCCTTCAGGCTCTGCAGAAATGCACACTCCATGGCACCTGCAAGGTGCCATCCTCCTGACACCTTCTCCCAGGGTATCATCTAGGGAGCAGAATGCTTGGAATTTTGCCCCACCAGCCTGTGTTCTCCTAAGAGCTGAGGAGGTTTCTGGGAGTCAGAGAGTGAAATAATGGAGTTTTACCTACAAGTTTCACCACAAGAGTGAAATAATGGAGTTTTACCTATTTACAATAATAGAGTTTTACCTGCAAGAGCATTAATGCAACTGCTCCTGCCAAAAAAGACTGCACCAAGGCTCTAAAGCAGCTTTTAATATCCCTGCTTGAGGAAAGACTTGACTATCTGCCCATTTAGATCATAAACTCTTTGGAAATGAGAGCTGTTAATGAAGGACTCTGAAATTGGCTGCACTAAAGTTTGCACCAAGAGAAGATGAGTGCCAATAGCTCAAGGCAACTTAGCCCTAGCTAAACAAAATTAGATTCTTTCCTCCCCCAGCTTTTTGTGGCACTGAAAAATGTTCACATGACGTAGTCAGCTCTCCAAAGCTACCAAAGATGCACTTACAAAGGAGCATTTTAATGGCAGGCCACTGTCTGAGAGTGCATTAATGCATCTATTGCCTGGGAGACAGAGAAAGGGCAGCCTGTGGAGACAGAATGAACCCTCTATGACACAGAGCCTTGGCACATCCCTACTGACACGGTCTATGCTGGAGAGGGGGCAGGAATAGTAAAACAAGCCAATGTGAAAAACAGGGTATGCAATTTCAGCAAGACCCAAATTACTTTGGGCCCACTTCATAAACATATTAGACTGATTGCTGCTTTAGCATCATTAAAAGACTTCCCTAAGATTACCTCATGACTTTTAAGCCCATAAGGATTCAGTGATTCTTTTTATAAATAACACTTTGAAGTCAAATCCATAAAATAGGTTTAGGCTAAAATTAGAAGAGTTCTAATAAAATGCCCTGTGAATACAAGTGTTGTTTCAACAGATACCATCCTAAACATGTTTCCTTGTCCTGCACAATGGCACACTCTGCCAGAAAAGGAGGGTTAACAAATCAAATATGAGGGAGGGTTTGCCACCCAGGCAGGGTGCAAGGAGGCTGTGCCAGGCTGGAACCATCAGGCTCCAAGCACCAGCACTGGGCTCTGGCATCAGCTTCAGGGCTCTGGGAAGGCACAGGCTGCAGCACTGTGATCCTTTAGTCCTCCTGCTGCTGTCTCCAGTGTGCAAAATACACAAAAAGCACATGAGATGAGAAGAAAAGGAGTTACAAAGGTTTTTTTTCTTCCACCAACATGAGACACTGCCAGTCTGTATTTCTTTTTTCTCCCCAGACAAGCTGCTTGGCAGTCCCATCCTCTGGCATGCCCAAATTGGAGTTCTCCCACTCCTTTCATCTGTCACTGGGAAAAAATGCAGAAGTGACATGTCTGGGCTCTTAGCAACCCAGCTAACTGGCACAGCACTGAAAAGACCACCAGCAGCTAAACCATTCACTGCTCTCCACGTTTGTAAACACAATAAATGCTGGGGACAGTGGGGACATTTTTCAAAAGAGCTTCTGCCAGAGACTGAATCAGGGAGAGTCAGTTCAAGCCTACTTTGTCTTACCAGGCTCTGCTGCTGGGATTTGCTACATACCCTGCTCACCCCAAACACAAATGTCCTCTCCACCAATGGAGAAACATGTGCCAATCCTTAGGGAACACAGCAAAACAGGGCTGGGGCTGGTGAGGTTTTGCTCTTGCTGCATTCCCAGTGGATTTACACCAGCACTAGGGGCAGAGGAGTTACACTGCACAGCAAGGACATGGCCCATCCTCTAGAAGAGAAAGGAATGAAGTTTTTCTCCAGAGGAACAATCCCCATCCTTGGGTAACACAGGTCAGTATGGTGAGAAGCACTGAGATTCTTGCCATGAGCACACACACACAGCTCCCAAACCCACTCACAGCCTGGCTTTGCCCCCCTGGTGTTAGGAAACCCAGTGAGCAAGAGCATCAGGAGCAAGCCAGGCTGGGGGATGCTGCCATGCCCAAAAGGGATGCATGGATACCAGGAGAACAGGAAATCCAGCACTCACCTCTGAGGAGTCGGCACACCGAGCAACACGTGCACACTGGAAGAGGAGCTGAGAGTTAGGAACTCATTGGGGAAGCCACTCACTCTTAGAAAACACCTGGCACCACTTTGAAGGGCACTTCAAGGCCCTGGTGTACACAGGGAGATGAGCAGCATGGAGCACAGACTCAGGAATGTGCCTCATCCCAGGCTGTGTCCATATGGGTGTTAAGGATGGGGTTAGATACAACTCCCTGGTGCTGTTCTCAGATCACTGAACAGAAGGAACTCCTGAGTGGAGGGATCTGGGAGTGTGGGTAAGCAATGGGAGCATGGATGCATAACCCAGTTAAAAAAGGCTGTATGATAACAAACAGAGTGCAATACTGGGGTTTGTAAGGCTGTGTGCCTGGATTCTTCCAGCAGATTTAGAATTCTTGTAGAGAGGTCTACAAGAATTCTAGAATCTACAAGAAGGCTGCTGCAACCACTCACACAGCCTCTAAAGGAATCTATCCACACATCCCTGATCTTCCTAAACCAGGAGAGTCCCACAGGAATTAATATCCTGATGGAATTGCCATAAGAATGAAAGCAGCCAAGGGGATTGCATTGCACCCCTCACTGAAAGCAGGTGGTTCATAACTGTTCATGAACATGTGTGAAGTTTACAGCTTCATCTTGAGCACAGTTTGTGTTCCAGGAAACAGCCTACGTTTCCAGTTGGAGCCTTTCAATTTAATGCTCACAGTGGCATTAATGACTCCACATTAAAGAAAGTTATTGAAGAAGAAAAGGTTTTGAGCTCTGTGTGATTTTTTTTTTTAGTTATGATTATCCTGCACTGGAGACACTGGAAGTTCTTCTATAGTTTCACAGTCATTTTATTTAAAGCAGCACCATTGAGAGCAGATGTCTCACTGTCCCTTGCACTCTGGCCTCCACCTCCTTGTCCCATTGCTGATGTCTGTGCTGCTGCTCTCCACTGGATCTGACCCAGGTCAAGAGCAGCTTGGAAGCAAGGGATAACATTTAACTTGAACCAATTCCTTGACTGGGGTCAGCATGTAAAAATAGGATTTGAATGTATCCAAAGGAAAAGAGATGGGCCAGAGTGAAGCAGCTGGGTTACAGCTTTTAGTGGGAGTGCAGCCTCACATTGGCTGGATGATGCTGTGAAACTCTGGGCTTCCTCAAGAGATCTGCTGTGGGTTCAGCCTCTGATCTCACACAGAAGGAAGCTGATCACAGTTTTATGAGAGTTTATTCTCTGGGAGTTCAGACAACATATATCTGGGGTGCTCTCACACATCTTTCTGGTTGATGGGGACTGAATACCCAAACACATCCTGACTGCTGATGTTCCCCCACCTTTGTTCTGCATTGCAAAGCCTTTGGTCGTCCAGCATAACACCAAAAAAACAGCTTTGATTCTCTCCTGCTCAGAGGAATGGAGAGTATGAGAAAGCACACTGTCCATTCCTGCTTTGAAATCATTCCAGATAAGAATGATCTTAGCCTGGGACAAGCTAAGCAGAAAGAGTTCTGGGTTTGGGCAATACAGAGGGTGGCTGCATTGTTTGTGATCCTCTGCCCCAGGCAGCATCAGCTCTGCACACTGACTGTCCTCTGATGCAACACAAATTAAGGTAATGCTGTAAGGTTAAGAAGTGCAAAAGCTCCTGTTAATAAAGATAGGTCTGTATGTGAATTGTTACTGGGCATTTGCCAGAACAACAGGATTCCCTTGAAAAATATTTAGAAATATTGTTCTGGAATTGACACTTTTCCATAACAATGCACAGCCACATGACATTTACAGTTCCCAAAGGAAAGAGGCAGTTCTGCCTGTGGAAAGGGCACAGGTTGGAGCAGGCACAGAAGTAAAATGTCACAGTCCATCATCTGGGTGCCAGGACAATAAACTGAGAAATGCTGAACCAAAAGTGAAGTGAAAAATCAGATGAAGAGGTGGTGGGCTCACTGTGCATCCTTGGTGCCCAACAAAGGAAGGGGTGCACGTTTCCCTGGAGCTGTTTGTGGGGTCAGCAGCCACCCACAAATCAGGGCAAAAGCAGCCTGTGCCTCTCCATGCCACCTGGGTGTGGCTTTGGCTGGGTGTGAGGAGGAGGAGAAGGGGCTTTTTGGGATGAGTGGGCACACCTAGAGCCCACTGTGTGCTGAGCAGTCCCACTCCTGCAGAAGGACCATCCTCACAGCAGAGCTGCACAATGGACAGGCATTGACTGCCACTGAAACACAGCAAAGACACAAAAAGGGAGAGGGGGCAAAAAAGGGTAGCAAAGGGTAGAGGAAAAAGAGCAATTCTCCTTGTCTCAAAGGCAGCTCTTGCTTATTCTATTGCTTGGCCTCATAACACACTCTTCAGCAGGCAAAAAAAAACCCCTTTGCTGTATCTGCATGAGGTTGTTACAAAATGGCAAACTCTTCACACAGTACTTTGTGTCAAGAGGGGATTCAAAGAATCACAAATCCATCTAAGCAGCACCATTCACATTACAAAAATAACAGCAGTGGAAACAGAACAGGCTGAGTGTTTGTGTAGCCTGGTCCTACAGCCAGCTTTTGGCCACAGGCACAGCCCACTGGTGTCAGGAGAGCCTTTTCTCATGCTGCAGTGGGCTTGGAAACATGCCCAAGGGTTGGGAAACCAGAACCTGAACCACTGCTGGTCACAGGGGCTGGGGGGTTTAACACCAACAAAACTGCATTTTAGCACTCCCTTCTGTGCAGGAAAGACAACAGAGCTCTCCCTATGCCCCTGTCTTTCCAAAACACTTTATTTCAGATGTCACATCTGCTCTCAAACACAACAGTCACACAACAGGCTTGGAACCAGCAACACCAAGTTCCACCCCAGGTCTGGCTGTGTGTCCACTGCTCAGGGCATGGGAGCCACATGAACAACTCTGAGCTCATCCCAAAGAGCCCTCTCTCCTCTCAGGTGGGGTCAGCTCTCAGCACCTCCATGCCAGCTCCTGAGTGATGACAGGGCTTTAGCTTCTATTGGCTAATTGGGTTAACATGCATTTTTATGTTCAGACATCATTGTTCCAGCTATACCTTAATTGTAACCATGTGAGTTTCAGAGCTTTCATCAAAAAGGGATGATGGTTTGGGTGTGTGTTTCTTTCCTGAGGGCTTAATCTAAAATTCCTTAATAGCAAGGCTATTACCCCACAGAAACTGAGCTCTGCTCTCTTGTCAGACTAAGGAACCACACCAGGTGAGAACATGGCTCTGTGGTTTTCACTGTGAGCATAACCTTAAAGTCCAGCCCTCAGCTAATCCCCTTAATTAGTGTGGTCACAAAGAGATCAAGGAGCAGGCACAATTCTAGCTGGCAGCAGTCAAGGACAATCAACATAAGCCTCCTTTGAATTACATAAACTTTAGGTTTTGTTTTGGGAATCATTATCCTCCTATTTTAAGGTTTCTCTTAGAACACCAGAAATGAAGCATTTACAGAAGTAAGCTGTTTCCTTTTTTGTTGGTTCTTTTCTTAATGTTGCTAATATAATTTGTGGATTTGCAGCGGGACTAGGACGGAAAGAAAAAAGAGAGGGGAATATTTCTAAAAAGAAAAATATCAAAACAAAATTATCTACTTTAAGTCTGCTTTGGGTGAAAGTTGCTGATGTAAGAGGTAATAGAGCATCAGGAAAATAGAGGTACAATGCAGGTTCTGTAATTCACAAGAAAAGTTGTCCATTTAAAATGAACACCCTCATGCCAAACACTGTCTGGGTCATTTTTAATGACTCCATCTGATGTCACATTGACTGTGTCCCACTGTTTCTAAAGCAGGTAAAAAATCAGAGGAGTTCAATGTTTCTGTGAGGCAGTGGGGACATCTGACAGGGATATTTATGTCATCTGAGGGCTTTGAGGCAGGAGACAGGGCTGTGTGTCTCCTGTTCTGTAGTGGCTGCTCATGCCCATTCTCACACATGCATTATATATACATATATATATATATATGTATATATAGCACACTAATGGGCAGAGGCAAATTCTGTCTGTCCCTTGCTGATGTCCAGCTCTCCAACTAAACAAATATGAAAGGTGGAATGACAGAGCTCTGTCTGGGCTTAGTGTGCCCAGAGCAGTGTCCTCTCAGCAGAACAAGGCCCTCAGGACGTGGCACAGTGTGGCTGGCACATCACAGTCACACACACACACACATGACAGCTGGCTCTGATCAGTTCTCCCCTCCAGACATTCTGGCTACACACAAAATGGTGCCCACATGGAACAGCACAAGGATTGCAGAGACCAGCACTGGATCTTTCCCTTCCTGTGATCAGAAGGGAGAGCAAAGCTCGCAGCTGGATTCTCCCACCACCTGCAAGGGGAGTCTGTGTTCTCTGCAGGTGGAGAATGAGGCACCTCAATGAAATCACCAAGTGAGGTGGGACAGATGGAGTCTTGGAAGATTTTGCAAATTTGTGCAGTTTCCATTAAAAGAAAAATTAAACCCAAAATCTCAAATTACTTGAATCCAAAGTTTGTGATAAACACTCAGTCTGATTTCAAAATATTTACAAACAATTTTTCAGAGATTCATTCTGAGAGATCCTTGTGCACTATGGACACTAAACCAGACCAAAATAAGAAACTCTTGTGTCTTGGGACAGGGGTTTGTGGCCAGGTGAGCTGACTCCACTGTCCCAAGAGCAAAGCTACAAAGGCTGCTCTACTCCATGTGGAACTAAGATAAGTAAATTACAGTTTATTTGTGTCATTATTTATTTTTGTCTAAATATATGAGTTTTTAAAGACTTTTATATTCTGTGTGTGAACACTTTATTTTCAGACTGATTATGTCAAGAGAAGTGTACACAAGGCCATATATAAAGATGACAATAAAACCACTGTGCACCAACATTTCAGTTTACCCATAAAGAAAATGTAATTCAACAGATAATATTAAAAAAAAAAAAGGAGAAGTCTGATTCACAGAATTTGTAAGAGGCTTGAAGGATACTCTTTAGGAAGGATCAGACAAGACATTTCCAATACCATTCCAAAACTAAAGCAAATTAGAAGGCATAGCAAATACCCAGGCTTGAAACAGTGCAAGTGTTTGCACAGACCTCAGCACAGGTTGAAAGTTGAACAAGTTGAAACTGCTGAATTTCTGACTTGCCAGCATATGTTTCACAACTCCCAAGTGCAACACGCCTGCAACTTTCCATGGCTTCTCATCACAGCACTGGAGTTGAGTGATCTTTGGTGGTGTGTGGGAATCCCAGGAACCATCTGGAGCCACCTCCTTGGGATAACCCTCCATGTCTCACTTTTTGAGATATAATCTGCAAAGCTATCTCCAGTTAAATGTTTTGGATTTGGACTCAAAAAGATTTCTTTAACCAAGCTTGAAATAATTTTTTTAACTGAATCCCTAGGAATGGATCTTATTTACAGCATGATATTTCTTCCCTTTGTTCTTTCAGAATTAGAAAACAAACTATTGTCCTTAAAATAATTTTTTTAACCGAATCCTCAGGAATGGACCTTATTTACAGCATGCTACTTCTTCCCTTTGTTCTTTCAGAATTAGAAAAACAAACTATTGTCCTTAGGAAACACAGTTTTTCAGCGTGGCTTTTAGCCCCCAGCTCAGGTTGCAAAGACTCAGTCTGGCTTCTCTGCACACTCAAGTCTCATCCTTGGTACCAGCCAGGAATAGTAACCATCAAATGATGATCCTGTTTTTTTCTCCTAAGTGCCAAGAGACCAAGAGCATGTCTGTGTCCTGGGAATTCTGGTATGTGCTGCCTGCAGCGTCCGTTTCTCTCTGTGCCTGCCAAGGGCATGACTTCATTGAACAGTGTGATATTCCAGACAGCACAACACTGAAAATAACACTGGCACTTACCTGAGCTGCCAGTGCCTTCTGATGCACTTCTGGATGGTTTTGGGTGGCTCTGTTTGCTGCTTGTCCGTACAGTGACCGAGGGAGGGACGGTGCTGCTGCTGTCCCCACGGATGCTCGACAGGTCCTGCATGCTGAAGCTCCGTAGCCTCTCAGACAGGGCTCCCTGTCCCTGGGAAAACAAGCAAGTCAACAACACAAAGTCAGATCCAACATTTTGAGACTTTTTCTCTCTTTCTCATTGAGATCTATCAGGACAATAGGAAGAGGAAAAATTGTGTGGTCCAGTGACCTAGAGATGATAAAAATGTGTTGCTAAAAGCATCATTCCTTCCCTTGGCTCTTCCTTTTGGAGTGGCTCTGTGGCAAACATTTCTGATTCTTCACTGCAGGGATGTGAGCACAGAGCAGCCTTGGCCATGTGTTGAATTTGCAGGCAACCCCGAGAAGGAGAGAGATTAGTGAATATGACTCCATGTTCTTAGAAGGCTGATGATATGATATGATATGATATGATATGATATGATATGATATTATATTATATTATATTATATTATATTATATTATATTATGTCATGTCATGTCATATTATAATATCATAGAATGCTATACTAAAACTATACGAAAGGATAGAGAAAGGATACAGACAGAAGGTTACAAAGAATGATAATGAGAACTCGTAACTCCTTCCAGAGTCCCAACACACACAGCCTAATCATGATTGGCCATTAAGTTAAAACAATTCACATGAAACCAATCAAACAATGGCCAGCTGGCAAACAATCTCCAAACACATCCCAAAGCAGCAAAACAGGAGAAGCAATCAGATAATTCTGGTTTTCATTTTTCTCTGAGGCTTCTGAGCTTCCCAGGAGAAGAAATCCTGGTGAAGGGATTTTTCAGAAAGTATGACAGTGACAGCCATGTGTAAAGGAGCAGGATGTTCCTTTATCTTTCTAGTAGGTGCTTTCCTTCACTAGGAATGAGTCAAACAGATGCTTGGCTTCAGAATCACAATGAAATGGCCTGCATCAAAATAACTCCCTTTTAAATGTAACCATCTATGATGATATTCACCCAGCCATTCTCAGCAACACACAACATTTCCAGAGCACAGAAAATTTGCAATTTTAAAGTAATTAAAAAATATTGTTAAACTCCAAGAAAAATAACAATGCTTTTTTCATGCAGCTTAATGAAGAAATGAATTAATGCAATATTTTTATTTCTTTTTACTTTAATTCTCAATCTGACAACAAAGATATTCCTTGGTGAAAGGAATTTAACTGTAAAGGATGGGTTGGTTAAGTGTCACTTTCCATTAAAACTGCACCCCATCAAAAGGTTGACTGTAAGTATTCTGTAACCTTTATACTGCACCACAGCCATAAAGAAGGAACACCAAAAAAATCAATATATACAGAACTTTAGAGTTACATTAAATGACATTCAGAATATAAATTGTACAACTTATAAAAATTACATTGATGTTTTAATAATTTATTGAGGGGGGAGGATCTGAAAGATACTTCATGGCACATAGTCTTGAAAAGTACTGAAGTAAACACAGAGAGCCTGATTCTAACATTCTGCAACTGTAAATGAGGAAAAATTCAATGGCTTGTTTGACTGAGATGAAATCTCAGTCTGACTGAGATGAAATCAGAAAGAAGGCAAATAACAGACAGTAAATATTGTCCTGTTTAACAAAAAGATAAGGTAACCTGTAGCAATTCACCCTCCACTTTCATCTAGACTTGTATTTGTCCAAGCAGCACAGCCTGACCAAGTGCCACAGCACAGGGCTGCTCCCTTCTGGGCTGCAGCTTTGACATCCTGACCCAGGGTGCAGGGCAAGGCCATGGAGAGCTCACTCTGCAGCTGGTCTGGCAGAGAGAAAGGTTCAGGACTCATCCTGGACATCCACAATCAAAGCAAGACTGGACACATTCCGGCTAAAGCTCTTGGGCAACACGGCCTGTCCCCTATGCATTGATCCACTGGGAAGGCAAAGCAATAATTTACCTACTGATTTATCAACACCACTTCAGAAATTCTGCATGCACAGTAAAGGAAAATCAGTGTCTCTATCTCATATAAATTCCTCAGCACCTCACTTTTAGGGTGTGTAAGTAGAGAGGGCATCAGGTGCTGCTACCTACAGTCACTGTGACAGTCTGCACTTTTTACATTCAAGAAAAGTGACAGACCAGTAATCTCCAACCTTTCAGCCTGAAGCTTTTTGCACAAGAAACATGAGTTCAAACTTCCTTCTCAACTCCACATTTAGCTTTCCTGCAGACTGTTACAGAGAAGCAGCAGACTTACTTTGCTCTTTCCCACTAGCCTATTCTACTTTTGAAAGTATTTTAAATTAAACTGATGGGGCTTCTTTGCTTAAATACCAAGACATACCATGTTGCTGATTTTATAGGCATGGCAGTGGAGTCCTTAGAATTTGTATTTTGCTAAACTCTCACCTCTGCCCTCACATTCTCCAGCCTGGCACAAGAGTTGATGCCTGAATTTTGGCTACTCCTGCCAGTGGCTGAGCCACTCTTGGGGTATGTTCTCACTCCAAGAGGCATCTCCAGTTAATCCTCTTGGGCCAGTTTGGTTTTTTTTGAGCTACATTTACTCTGCAAATGTTTCTGGGCTGGTAACTGGAGTTGCCTTGCATGGCTGCTCAGCTGGGTGAGATCTCAGCTGCCCAGAGCTCAGTGCAGCTCTGGATGGGTTTGGGAACCAGCACTGAATTCCTGCACAGACACCAAATTCTCAGTGACTGATTCCAAGCCAATACAAGATATCCTACCCTGCAGCCTGATTGCAACAGGCAGATCTCCAGTGAGAGCAATCTGACCATTAAATAACATTTTGCTATTGCAGAATGACTGGGCCAGCAAAGCCAGAGGGTTAGCAGCTGATGAACTGTAATTTGAGTGCTGTATTCCTCCCTCACACCCAGCTCAAGTGTCAGCAGGGCTCAGGCTTTTCAGCTCCCCCCAGCTGCTCTGCTCAGCCAGCTAACCCAAATTCCATTTCATTCCAGCCAGCAATTTCTGTGTGTGGACATGAGTCAGGTTAGAGATGAGATTCATGTGTCAGACCAACCTGGCAGGGAAGATGACACCAGCACGTTGAAAATGGAGAAGATGTGTTAATATTCTTGCAGTGCACCTTGTGATATAGCAGCAGAGAATGATCAAAGGGCCCAGGAGAGCTTTGAAACAGGGACCTGAGATGTGCCTGTCATCTATGGGTCTGTTACATCAGTGTGGAATACAGAGCCTTGAGCACAGACTGAAGCAGCTGAACTAAACTTTGACTTTCTCCAGGAAAGAAAGAACTAAAATTGACTTTTCTTAATTTTTTTATTTAATTTAACCTGAGTTTCTAACAGCAAAAATAAAGATGGTTTATAAAACAGGTAATAGCAAAATATTACTGTTACTGTTCCTACCATTCTATGAAGCAATTTTTCCAAATACCAGAAATGGCAAGAACAGCAAAGGCTTGGCCTGAGTGAAGGCACTGAACACCTGTGAAAACCTGCAGAGTTCCATTTCCCTTCTTTGGCCTTTGTAGGGATAGACTTGATTTATTTGCTCCTAGAATACAGTGTAACACTCACATTTCTTTCCCAGTTAGCACAATTTTAGTTGACCCCAAATAGAAATGTGTCAGAAATTACCACAGAATGGGGATGGTTTCAGAGTGAAATGGAAAATATTGTTTACCAACTTTTATTTCCCTGCCACATAAGCAGCTGGTGTAGATGAAATCACAAACATTTGAAAAGCCAGCATGGGGAGGGTTTGCAGAGCTGTGTTTTAGAAATAAAGACTTTATCCAGATGTAATGTTTATTGTCCCACAAAAAATATTTATCTTTTATTAGCAAAAGAAAATAAGTTAATAGCTTTATTTCTTGACAGAGTAAATTTAGCACAGCTCATGTTTTGGGCTGTGTTTTGTTAAAACAATCATGTGGAAGATGAAGAGCAGCTGTTTGGGGGATTTTTGTTTACTGTTGTGGCCATGATCATGCAGATGCTCTTCCAACTGCTATAGACATGAGAGATATCCCAGGAATTTCAGCAAGGAGAGAGGATCCAGCTCCTGAAGCTATGCCTGTGCTGCAGGCCAGAGCATGTTTGCAGCACCTCCCCACAGATCTGGGCTAGTTCTGCCCTAGAGAGTGTGACAGCAGAAACATCGTGACAGGAGCATCGTGACAGTAACACCATCTCTGTGTTATTACAGAGAAACAGCTCAGTGTTATTACAAAGCCTCCTAAAAACTATGGCTGGGAGGGCTGTGGGACTAAGGATGACACCACCTCTCTCTCCTCCTCACTGAGCACCAGCAGTTGCCAGGATGATTGTGCTGGCAGTGTGAGACCTGTGGTTTTGGGACTTTAGAGGACACAAGCACAAAATGGTGCTGGAAAAATGAGCCTTAACTTCCCTGGGCACAGGACTCCCTGCCTGCACTCAGCTTCTCATCCAGCTTCTCTTCAGACATGGAGCACCCCTGTGGACATGGCACTTCTGATTTTACAGACAGTGAGATTTGGGGAACACGGGTGGGAACAGAGGTGTCTCTCTGTTCCCTGATCACTACAGTGCATCTGTCCCCAAACTCCTCTGATCTTGCCCATAGGTGAAGGTACAGCACAGACTGAAAGTGGAGCTCTTCAAGCTTCCTTTCCCCAGGATCTACCAACCTCACAAGTTCTCTTTTCACTGGGAAGAGCCAGGGCTCTTCAGTGCTACTGAATAGGATAAAAGACAAATACTAAAAAGGACATGGTAATTTCCCTGCCCAGTCACTGCTATCACTTGATATCAACCTTATTTAGATTCATGACTGCACCAACAGTTTGAGGGCATTGGCCACCAAGACAAACTGCAGAAGCTCATTTTTGATTCTAAGTGAAATTAAAGCTCCCATCCACATGGCAAAGTAATTAATCTAAAACTAATTTAAGTATTAAATTAAATTTGGTCAAAATGATACATTGTTATCTCACCCACATCTAGCACATTCTCTCCTTTTTGCTTTAAAGACTATAACAAAACAGTATTAAAACACTGAACTTCCAGAGCCAGCAACCTGCACACTGCCTTCCTCTTCATGTTGCAGACATCACCATCATCATCCTCCAAAAAACAAACATCAGCCTCTCTGGGTCCAGACCACAAACACTGATGCAATCAGTATTTGCCTGGAAGGATCAGAAATACTTTCCAAAAGCTGACATCTGCATTGTGACAAGCACTGTAAAAGGCACTCCATCAGAAAGAGCTGGAACTGTCTTAAATTTTTTTGCCATTTTATAATCAGTCTCTGCATTCCCATTTGAACTTTTTAGAGGAAAATACATTTAGGAGTCTGGGAAAAACTGGGTTTAAGTTCAGTGGAATTATTCATTATAAATACTTCATGTATGTAGGTAGCTAAAGTACATAAAAATAAGCACATAATTTAAAAATCTGCAATTTATATAACAGTTCCATTGAATACGACCTAAATATAAACAAATAACAGTGTCTAGATTTTATCATTCCTTCAGTCTATAAATATGAAAGAATTCTATAAACATTATTTAGGCTTCAAAACACCTCTAATACCTACAAATTCCATTTTGCAGCTGTGGAAACTATGACACAGCATGACAAATCAGGAACCCAAAACTGCCAAGTCACAAAAGAGAAGCTTTTAGTACACTCAGTGTTAATGCAGGATGGCACCTCTTGGCCTTTTGTCTCTCAGGATCAGCAGTTAATGGAGACAAGCAAGGGAACACTAAGTCACACTCAGCACACTTCCAGCACAATCCTCAATCTGTTAATGCCCTCCTCTCTTTTTGCTGTGGCTGTGGTTAGCAGTTCTCCCCCACAGATGTCTGCATGCACGTTGCAGCCTCCATCCTGCCAGTGTCTGAGGGTGTAGAGCACATTCCCCAGCTGGGGCTGTGGTGCCAGCAGGACTGCCCCAACCACACCTGCCAGAGATCCTCTAAAAGCTCCACTGCAACCCCAACCATCCCCACAGGGACCACAGCACAGGGAGAGAGACTCCCTTCATCCATTAGTGAGAGCACAGCAGCACACACAGCAGCAACCAGCCCAGTTCAATGAGTGTTCCATGTAAAAGCTCCCTGCCTGGAGCTGGAATTTCCTCCAGTGCCAGCAGAGGACCTGGAAGGCAATTTGCTGATGAGATCAAGGACAGGCTTTTAAAGCTCAGCACGCGGCATCTACCCACTGGAAGCAGAGCAGACAGCACTTGGCCTCAGCTGAAAACAGTCCAAACTAGTCTAACAACTAGTCTAACAACCAGTCTAACAGGGAGCAGACATTAGTTAGGGGTTAGTAAAAGCACTCAGCAGATTACCTGCCCTTTTTTCTGGTCCCAATACAAGTGTAAATGGAGTAGCTGAGAGACCTAGCAAAGGGAAAAAAGAGAGCCATTGTGGCAACACACACCAAAGCTTTGAGAATAAGATCTATTTGAAGCATAAGTAATCGAGGTCAGACATGAGCATGACACTGGGCACCATGTGCAGGGACTCACATACACATAAAAAGCAGGGACACCCACCTGTGGACAGAACCTGAACACAGGTCCTCCCTTCCTCAGCTTCCCAGGAGAGATATGGAGGAACCACTCCATAACCCCAGCTGACAAGGTGTCACCTAACATGTGTTTTTAAAGATTAAAGCAAATTATAAACACAATGGGCTGCTGCTCCACTCCTAAAGCAAATTATAAACACAATGGGCTGCTGCTCCACTCCTTGCACTTGATTGATGCTTCCCACTGGAGAAATCCCCAGTGTCAGGCCTAATGACTAATTTAGGCACAGGATTATGTGAGGGACACGTGGCAGTCATTTTAGTGACTGACACTTCTCCTGAGCACTACAGTGACAGTGGGGAATTGCTCACTGAGCAGGAGTTTGCACACAGAAGCTTCCTCATGTCTGGCTGCAGGCAGGCCCTGAGCAGAACCATCAGCTTTATGGGCAGAGCACAGGCATGAGTGAAGGAGTAAATTGTTTCTGCCACCAGATGAACACAAACATCCTACAAGCAATATCCTTATTTATGGCCAGGGCCTGCGTGCCATGCCTAGTCTGGAAGAGCTACCTGTTTGGAAATGTCAGACAGTAATAAAGGCTCAAAGGGAAACCAGCTGACGTTAATGTTGATGGTGGAAATGTAATTTCATCCACCCTTTTTGTTTGTGCAGTTCATTTCCTCTCCAGGGAAATCTTTGTTATTGTTTCTCCCACACTAGCCTCTCTGTATAAACTTATTTTTTGGTTCTGCTGTCCTGTGCATTCAGGGAGTGTTGTTTGCTTGTTGGAGACACCAACCAAACAGCCATGAAAGAGAAACTGGAAAGAGTTACCTGGATTGTAACTCAAACAGCACTAGCATTCTATAGATTTGTGAAAAACAGATTCTTAAGGACTTCTGAATGAAAGATGCATCACACATGACAAGAACACTTCACAAAGTACTGGAATCTGTGGCCACCATATATTTTAAGAAAGCCATTTGTTATTCCTCCTTATTGGTGTAAAATAGCTCCAAGATCTTTGATTTTGGATCCCAAATGGAAACTACTTCCAAAAGCAACAAGCTCAGCCCCTCTGAGATAACAGCAAGGTGCCCCCAGAGGCTTCTCAGACTGTGAACTCTAAATCACTGCTGACCTCTGCAGCTCTAGGCCATGCTACTGATGAGGGCACCTGATGTGGCCATCACAGATGTGGTGCTAAGCAGATTGGTCAGAACTGTGCTCCCATATGTTTGCTCAGCAAAGGAGAACTCTCCCTCTGAGCATGGGGATCTAATCATTACAAAGAGGCTTTCTCAAGCATCTTAAGGGAAAGGATGCTCCCCACCCCTGCCCCCCTTTCCCAATTCAAGTAGAAGTGCAGCTCTCCACTGTTCTGTCACAAAAGGCAGCATGTCTCTCCCACACAAGTATTTTTCTCCCAGTTTCCACGGTAAATAGGTCTAAAATCACATGGTAAATTAGGGATCTAAATATTGATTTTTCAGGCAATTGCACTGGCTACACCAGCTGGATACTAGAAATTACTTAAATGATGCTGTTTGTCTAAAGAGCATAAAGCCTAAATCATCACCAGCATTTCCCTCCAAGTGTCCTGGTTTAAAAAAACAACAAATGCACTGAAAAACCCTCTGATAAATTTCTTGGGCTAAAAGGCCTTGAGGTAATGAAGCTAAAACCCTCCAGGGGAAGGTGAGCCCAAGGGTGGAAACAGAAATGAAGAGAATGGAAATGCCAGCCCAGACAGGTGGTTTGGGAGCTGCTGAGGCAGGGCATTGGTTGAGCAGGTGGGTGCACACCCTGAGCCCCCTGCCTGTGTGCCTGCCTGCTCCTCTGAGCCACACACACAGCAGCTGCTGGCTCCCCACATCCCCCACCCAGCAGAGGCTCCTGGGCTGCTTCTCACACTTATTAGGCACAAATGGGCTTTTCACTGACACCAGTCATGTGTGCCTGCTCCCTGCACCTCATTCTTCTGCTCCTGCCAGGGCTCTGCACCCACTGCCAGCACCACGCTGTGCCCACTCCCCTGTGCAAAAGTGGGCACACCATGGGCACAGCACCAGCTGCTCTGCCACCTCCCCTACACCAGGGCAGGAGAAAGGCAGGGGGAGGTTCATTGTCAGAAACCTCTGCAGTACACTGGTCTGCTGGCACGGGATGTTTTCTCCAAATCTCCTTTGAAAAGCAGTGTTGAGGCTGCAACTTGGGGATGGTTAAGTGGCTGAGAGGAGGGTTTGTCTTCAGGTGGGGAAAGATGTGGGTCTGTTTAGCAGAATTGGTTTGTTCAGGGTGGGGAATAAGGATACATCCAGACAGGATCTGGGAAACTCAGGAGTGTGAAAGAGAGAGTGAGAGAGCTGGGGGAGAGTGTAAAACTGGTGATGTGTGGGTTGTAGGAAGCCAGGAGGCAATGGCTGGGCAGGGATAGAGGAGCTGGGACTGGGGACATGGCAAAGCAGCAGGTGGCAGCAGGCTCAGTGTGACAGGTGAAGGATAAGGGCTGGGAGTGTGATGACAGCAAGGGAGAACATACAGGTGTGCTGGGGAAGGCTGGTGCTGCTTCCAAGCCACTGGAGCCTCTCCTTGCTGCAGCCATGTGTGTCCCAGCTGCTTCCACTGGATCCTGACTGGTGGCAGTGAAGGGCCCACTCTTGCCCAGGACCCATCTGATGGATGCACTGCCTGGCCAAGGCCTGCAGCAGCCCCAGGGCTGGGGCTGTAACAGCCCTGCTGCTGCTGCTGCTCCCTTCTGCTGTGGCCCAAATGCAAGCTTGTTTTCTCTCCATCAAGGTGAGCTGGAAAGATGGTGGTGGTCAGGGCTCTTCAGGAATGGAAATGGCTGAATTAGCTGGAACTAATTGAAAACACACAAAGAGCAGCAGGATTTACTGCCTGGTCATTTAATCCTACCATTTATGAGTGACCCACTTGAAGTTACCACATGTGACAGAATCACCAAGTGATGAGGACAGGATTAGAGCCCCAAATGAGATTATTCTCCTTGGTGGGGGTGTGAGCTGCTAGGGGCAGAGAAAAGATGTGTTGAGCACCTAGCAGGGGTAATAAACCAGATATCCAACATTCTGCTTGCCTAGTGAGCATCAAAAATAGACTCTCCAGAGAGAGAGAAAACACCCAAGTGAGCCAGCTGGGCAGACCCAGGGTGCCTGGGACACTGACAGCTCCTCAGCCTGTAAAATGAGCTGGCACAGGTTTGTGCCAGCATTAGCACAAGTGTGGCTTCAACACAGAACAGAGCAGGGGCAGGGAGCAGGAGGAGGGGGAAGGACAAGCCTGCAGTTGGATAACTGAAACCATGGGGTATTTAAGATAAAAAAGGGAAAGGGACAGGGAATCAGAGGTAAGGAAGGTGTGGCTGTGCACAGCTTGCAGCATCTTAGCCTGCAGTAAATATACAAGCAGCAGCCTGTCACACACCAATTAAAATCAGAGAGGCAGATGCATTGTGCTGCACAAAAAAAGATGAAGGATAAACAGGATGGATTAAAGAATATGTTGGACAAAAACAATGGATAAAAAAAAATATGATGGATGAAAAGAATTAAAAGATGGGCCTTGCCCAAAGATCTTATCATGAAAGACAAAAGACCATGATGGATCACAGCTCAGACAGAAAGGAGAGGACAGGGCTGGGCACAGCATGAGACATGTTCTCTCTCAGGTATAGGAGCCTTTAGATTTCAGCCAATTTACTGAAAACAGATCTGTACAGAGTCCCTTTTCACCTTTTCAACCCAGCAGCTCACTGTGTATTGCCACTATGTGAAGTTGATTTGCAAAGCCTAAAGGTCCATTTCTGCATACAAAAGCATCTTTTCCTCACCCAGTAATCCAAGTGAAACAGTAAATAATCCTCACATTCACTTGCTGGTAAAAGCCATGTTTTCCATGGAAGCTGCAGGAGCTCAGTGCTACTGAATAAATCATCATCTCTATAGGTTCCAGTTGTAACACAATCCTTTAAAGGCTGAAACCAAATGAACTCACTTTCCCACCACACTCAACACTTATCACAGACTAGCTGGATATCCTTAAATCTTGGCATTGGGAAAACCATGATAAGCCTTAGAAATAGTATTCTCTTTCCTCCTTCCCTAGAAACTTCTCCCTAAGGAGAGCACTGCAGTCTGGTCTGGCATCTGTCTGCTCAAAGTGTTTTCCAGATAATTAGTCATTTACACTCTTCTCAGGCAGGATAATCTGGCTCAGTTATACCTTCTCAAGTGAGCAAGGAAGGGCACTGACACTTAGTTGGCAGCAGCTGAAAACCAGGGCAAGAGAAGCAGCTCCTGCTGTACCACTCCTCCCTGGGGAACAGCTCCCTCCCCATCGGCAGGGACAGCGACATGGAGACACATCCACACCCCCAGCCACATCCTGGAGGCCTGAGGAGCCCCAGCTCAGCACTCCTGCACTGCAGCACACCAGGCTGGAACTCTCACCAGGCTGGAATTCTCACCAGGCTGCTCTCCCTGCCAGAACAGTGGCACATTCCCTCTCAGAAGGACAAGGGACAGGAGCTGCTTTAACCATCCCTGGATATTACACTGGGAACAGACTGGGGTGTGCTCCCATGGACACAACAGCTAATCTGTCTGGTTCCCAAGACCAGGAAGGGATGATCTTGCTTTCCTTTCCTCTGGCCATGCTCTCACAATGCAGTTCAATCCCTTTCCTTATGCTGGCTCAGCCACTTGAGATAAGTTTGTGGGCTCAAAAGAACAAACCCCTTTCTTTTTCTTTCAGGATTAACTTTCTGATAGATAAGAGATAACCTGAGGAGGTCCAAAATGCTAGGGCACCCTGGGAGCTGGAGCACTCCCCCATTTTGGAGAAGGAGAGCTGTCAGACTGGCTCACACTCTCTGTTGGAGCTGCACCCTTAGGCACACAGAAACAAGCAACTTGCTGGAGGCCACAAGCCAAAGTAGTGAAGGAAAACAGGGATTCTATTTTTTCCTCATACATTCAGAGTAATTTAAATGTCAGGGCTTAGGGAAATGCTTGAACAGTCATTGCTTTGTTGTAAAAATCAAACAATGTATTAAATAACAACCTCTCAATCTTATTAACAAATCCTTTTCCCCTCCCCAAAGTGTGCAAGAAAGACTCTTCTGGCCCATTTACAGGTTGCAATATCTTAACAGTTTTCTCTCAAGTTGTGTTGGCAGATGTGCAGTACAATAATACCACAGGAGTGACAGAGTTGTTTTCTTCCATCACTGAAAGGGGAGTTTCATCAACCATGAAAAACAACAGCTTCCTTGTACCATGGAGACTCTTCCCTCTCTTCCCCATTGCCACTGGAGCCACATTTTAAGGCAGAGAGAGCCTTAAGAGAAGCAGCAGAAAAGTGGAACAGTGGGAAGTAAAACCGTGGTGCTGGCTCTCATTCCAGTGAACAGCTGATGCAGACACTGTTGCAGTCCTGATGGAGGAACAGGTTGGCACTGTGGGTTTGGATTACTGTTGAGCTTCTCATATTCAGGAGCTACCTAGACAGGAGCCAGAATTCCTTTGGGATTCACACAGAGTTTCTCACTGTGTCCTAAAAACAGCTCTAGCACAGACAGTGTGCTTGAGCACCTTGTAGGAAGGGGCTCAGAGCAAAGGCAGTGCTGCAAAATTGGCATTCCCAGAGCCTATTTATGTCCCCAGTGTGACTTCTTCAGGCTTACATGGCAGCAGCAAAAGTGTTAAGTGTCCTGAAGGCATCACAAAAATGTTATTTCATTGGGCATATGATACACAGCACTGTCCTGGCTCCACGTTTATCCCAGGTTTCAGTCCAAATTTGGTTTATCTCCCAGTCCCTGGGTTAGAAGAGTCTCCCTACTGAAGAAAAACAGCTCAGGAGAAGACAGGCCTGACAATATAGTCTGCACAATGCTAGGCAGGGAAAAAGGAGACAATTTTTGGGTTTAGCATATCCTTGTGATCCCATGAGCATGGCACACCCTTTGGGCTCCCCCCTTCTGTAATACCTTGCTTTCAACAGGCTTTATAAGCTGTATGGTGTTTGGCCTCCCAAGGATGCATTTTGCATTTTTGCAGGAAGTAAGGCCAAGGCCTACTAAAGTGATGTGCCTTAGGTCATAGGAAAAGCATCTGGCAGAGGAAAATAACTTCCTTCAAGTCCCATTCTCATGTTGTTCCTACTACCAGTACCCTCCTTGTCCATATGTTTCCAACTATGCTTTTGGAAGAGGCCTGGTAGCCAAGTCTCCAAACACACTGTGCACATTGACTCTAAGCCCATGGCCAGAGGGCAGGACCCCAAAATGCAGTTATCAAGTCCTTGCAGCTTTCATGCAGGAAAAGGAACAACAGATACAGCTATTTTCTGGGTTTGGCTCTGAGCCAGGAAGAGAGTATAGGATACACCCCTTCAGATGAGACCCCTCATCCAACATCTATCTACTCATCCTCCAAAAGCAGCTAATGGCACTTCCCATTCACTCTTATACAACATCCCAGCAGAGAATTACACACCAGTTATGTTATGTGTATGCCTTGCAGAAGAACTTTTACCCTTCATGAACTTCATCTTCTTTCCCGTCACTACACAAAATTATAGCTCACTACACAAAACACTGAGAGAACCCCACCATCCCTCCCCCCCTCACTGGGGCTGCTGCTGGCACTGGGGGCAGAGAAGATGTCAGTGAGTCCTGAGATGTCAATGTGAATCCTGAGCTGCAGCTTTACCTTGGAAGCTGCCATGACAGCTGCCGTGGCTGCAACGTTCAGCCCCCGCTTGCCAAAGTGCACCAGGGCGTCGTAGCTCCGGTCCTTCGCCTGGATGAGGCAGTCATCGATCTCCTGCCAGAGCAGAACACAAAACAAACCATTAAAAAAGCACAAGAAGGGAAAGAAGGACAAGTTCAGGCTTATGCTCCCAGTCTCAGACTCTTAGCAAAGTCAGGTCATGCTTTACAGAGGTAGATGTCCTCCATGTCCTCCACTGTGGCTGGAAAGAAGTTCACAGCCAACATTTGCAAAGAGGAAAAGTTTGCTAGGGCGGCAATAACTCTCATTGCAGGATTGGGGAACTCTTTATTCTACAAATGGAAGATTGGAACCCAAAGCTGGGATCCTGGAACAAGAGAAATCTGCCTGAGCAACATGAACTGACAGCCATTTGCAAATTGTGCAATCCAAAGACAAATGGGATTGCCTCATATATAAAAATACTCATATGATGACACTGGGCAGCTGAAGCTGCACTGCCCTGTGGCCAGGACAGGTGGCCTCAGAAATATCTGGGATATCTCTGCACATCACAGCAGTGCCCAGCTTCAGATGCCCATGGAATTGGTAGGCCCAGAGCTTCGGGCCTTTGATGCCGCTCAATTTACAGTGAAACAGCTGGGGAGGTTCCTGCCCTTATTGTCCCTCCCTCAGGACACTGGGGTCTGGATGATAATGATAGCAAGGACTCCTAGCTCCCAGCTGGTGGATGTGCTGGGTTAGTGGGGCCTGGAGGCTGTGAGGAGCTGCTGGCTGCTCTCCCTATTCCCCACAGGTAAGAGGTGGCAGCTCAAAATGCATGAGCCCTACTTGGGGGAAGCAGAAGCAAAGGGAAGCAGAGACAATGGGTTGATTCCCACTGTCCTTCTTGGACAGGACTGAGATCCAACTGCTCCTTCACTGCCTGTGGCTAAAGGGAGAGCTTCCATCTCCAAGTTGCCAGTGCAGGAATCAGTCACTCACTCAGCAGTTTTCATGTTGGTATGTGACAATGGCTGTTCTTGGGCCATTTATTCTCGTGAGCCAAATGGATCTGCTTGACACTGTCCCATCCACAGCCACAGGAATCTCCCAGGCAGGCAAATGATAGCCAAGTTGTAATGTCCCCCTCCCAAAATTAGCATCTTTAATTTGAGCAAGACATTTTTTAATCTAGGACCTCAACAGGCTACATGCCTTTTTTCACCACACTACACAGCCAGGCATGTGCTTGCTAAGCCTATTTTAGACTGCCTGGGCTGTTTGTCTCACTGCTGTACAATGCTTTAGGCAGAACAAAGTTGAGGAGTCCTGGCTGCCAGACCAAGTTTCTCTATTTGTTACATCCAGCCACAACAGAGCACTCCAGCTATAATCAGCCAGTACATGCAAAGCAGCTCAGGAAGTATTTTTATCCCCCTCCCTCCCACCTTCTCAACTGCACCAAAATGAGTTAATAAGTGTGAGTGCATTGAACAGATGCCAGTATTTAAAAACACAACAACCACAAAGAACAAAAACACCAACCAAGAAGAGGGAATCAAATAATAGAGGGACAACCAGCAACTCCCAACCCTTCAATGGAAATGAATGATACAGAGACTGGAACAAACACACCACAGTTCTGTTCCACCCAGAGAGGACCCAGGCACCTGTGATTACCTTTTCTTTTGAAGAAAGAGTTGGATGAACAAATTTCCTGTACAGGAGGCTGGAGCCTTTTGTGTATGGAGACAGCAGCCAAGCTACAAAAGCTATTTTGAGTTCATAGTAGAATGGAAACCTAGAAGAAAGAGAGGGTTATTGTCTGCTCCCAATTTATCCACTGCCCTTAATTAGAGATGCTCAGCACAGGTAGGGATTTGCCAGCCTAGCTCAAGGCAGCTTTTACTTACCAAAAAATCTAAGGATTAAAGTGTATTGACTCAGTTTTGAGCACATCTCAATGACGCATGTGGGTGAATCTTTACTTGGTTATCAGGACCATTATTTAATGGTCTGGAAGAGACTCTGACATGTGATAAGAGGAGCTTTCTATATGCAAAGATCACAGGTGCTGCCTTCACAGTATCCCCAGTCATTGAAAGCAAAGACCAAACCAGCAAACCAATATTTCATTGATATGTATTTATACACTTTCCATATCCTTGCCTCTCAGCTTTTAAGCTAACACTTACATGACTAAAATTGAAATACAAGAACCTTTGTTGTCCAAGCAACATAAAGGTGCAGATCCACACTGACTTTCAGGTAGGGCTGCAAAATATGGAGGACGTTAACAACAGAACATGCTTTAGCTGTAACAAGCAGCCAGGCACATCCTGAGATTAAATTATCCAGACCCTTTTCTGGAGGACAGAGGCCAGAGCTCAAGACCCAGCAGCATCTTCATGTGGGCAGGCAAATTGCTGCCAGCAGTGTGAGGAACAATTGTTACTCTTTGCAAGCAAGAGCAGTGCAGAGACCTGTGATGGCTGTGGACCAGCCAAGCTGGACCCAGACAGGCCCCTGCTGTGCCACACAGTGCTGTCACTGAGCCAGCCAGCACCCAGGTCTGACACCATGGGCCTCTGCAATGCTCTGCTCTGAGCATGGATGTGCCAGGCTGATTTCCCAGCTCACTAAGGATCTCTACAGCACACTTGATTTCACAGGCTGGATGAGCCCTCTGCCATTTCTCTTGGCAGACTCACAGAATTCATCCTCCAAAAAAACCACAAAGCTCCAGATGAGCACAGGAGAGGTAGATCTGCATGCAAATTAGATGGGCATTAATGTCTTTTATCTCCTTTTCAATAGATCTGACATGTTGCCAAGTTTTCCTGATTTCCTTCATCTGGAGGACTCACCCAAGGCAGGCAGTGCTGTGCAGGAATAGGCTGTAAGGGCCATGCACTGCAGTCACATTTCACCCTAAATCTATTGATCTCACTGGTTTCTGGTAGAAAGGCCTTGCTATAAAGGGCAACCAAGCAACAAGCACTTGCAAACCTGAGCATCCAAAAAACACTGAAACTGATAAATAGGCATTTATGTACTCTCATCCTGACAGAGGTCACCAGGCATCCTTCCACTGGCACCAGAGAGCCACATCAGTGTTGACTGTCACTGTCCTCCATCAAACCAGAAACCCAGCCTAGCCAAGAATGTGCCAGGCAAAACATCCCAGGAACAACCACCCACACAGCAACCTACAAAGTCTCGTGCTGCAGGGCTGTTTGCACCTGATCCACAGTCTGTGTATTTACTGTAGGATGCAGCCAGGCAAGTCTAAAACTCAGCCTGTAGCTAAATCAACTGTTATTTATGTGATGACCTCTGCAGCATCCAACTGGGCAGTCAGCTGTGCCTCTCTGACAGGCAGGGCTGAGACTCCAGTAATGATTTTCCCACTAATGAGATACCACTGAGCCTTTCCACTTCTTTCTTTTCTCTGTGACAGCAGCACAAGAAAGGAAGAATGTCTCCTGCAGACAAAAATCCTCCATGCATTTGAAGCTGCTGAACCCCTGTACAGGAGTCAGTGCACCTTTTGTGTGCCATTTTTTCCCCTTGTAAACATTTCCATTTTCTTTTCATCTCATGCCAAAGAGCCTCTCCCCTGGTGCTTACCAGCAAAGAAAGATATCCGTGAACGTCTCTGCTGTGGTGAAGAGCGCGAATATGATCCAGTACATCATCCACTTGACCTGGTAAACAAAAACAGCCTCAAACTATCTCTTACAGGCACAAGTGCACAGAATAACTCCCACAGGAAAAGAAATTCTTACCCCCTCACCCTCCCCACTATGTGTTTAGCAATTACTGTGGACTTGAAGGTGCCAGTTTGCCCCACTTCAGCACATAGCACGTGTCAGATTTACACAGCCCTTGGGAAGGTGACTGTGGCCTTTAGGATTGGGCTCAGGAAAAGAAGAGCACACCCTGACTCTGTCCTTACAGAAACTGCACTGGCCAGTAGAGCATGACAGCCCTATCACAGGACATTAAAAATCTCACTTGGCTCAGTTAATAGCAAATGTTAATACAAGGTTGTTGGCCAAACTCCAGTTAAGACAAAATGTAATTACTTACATAATACCTACAGCCAGCAAAAGGTAAAGAGGTAACTGCCCATCCCATAATTGAGAGCTCAGGAGCACAATCAACTCACCACAAGTTACTGACTCAGTGGGCAGCCCTGGAGTGGCTGTGCCTGCTCCACCCATACCCAGTGCAGTGAGAAGGGCAAGGGCAATAGTTTGAATCCCTTGCCTTGGACTTCGGGGGGGAATGTTTTACCTCACACTGGTAGTGAGAGCATGTGCTGTGCTGTCTCTGTTCAACTGGAGAAACTCCCCTGTCAGGGATGATGGTTTCCTTTGGGCTGACAGCAAGAGAGTCTTTAGGGATGGTGACTTGGTTAGATAAACTGTAGCACCTCAAGTAATTCAGGAATTTGGAAATTTTTGTCACTGAGCACTAAATGGCACCTAAAAGCACAGCTCAGCTATTCTGAAGTATGTAGTATTGGTTCTTCTTAGGATGGAAAAAGATGGTGAGACAAAGGTTGTTAATTTAACTGACAACAGTTGTTTAATTAGGTGTACTTGAAAATGGAGATCCCTAAGCAGCTTTGCTGGAATGTTAAAAAGCTTAAGGAAGTAAAACCCATGAAAATCCATGAAAATCCATGAATTAGAGAATTGGACCATGTTAGCTAAGGCTGGTGCAATTGCAACAGGTAAGGAAAGGCTGGAGGGAAGACAGCACAAGAGGGATACCTACACCAGGTGCTGCTCTGGGGAATGGAAGATGAAGGTGTCAATAAATCTGGATCTCACCAGCTTGGAAATGATATCCATCCCCATGTTCTCCCTGATACAGTGGGACAGTACTGATAGTCTCCATCTCCCTGCAGGTACTGGAATTATTCCCTGAGCACCTGTCACTACATAACTGCTCTCCTGGGATTTATATTTATGTGCATATTTATATCTATATGTAGTGTTACAACAATAATGGCACTGCCAAATGCCTGAGAGCATCATCTTCCTAGAGCAGCTTCTGCCAGATTTGTTATGTAACTGTGACTCCTCAGAGCCTCATTGCCAACACGGCTCTCTCACTTAGACATTACTGCCAGCAAAACTTTTAAACACAAACCAAGACCTGGTGTGGATGGGCTTGGATCAGCCTAAAACATTCATCAAAATTACTATTACCAAGCAGAAAAAAAATTATTTTAGAGTGATATAAGTTTTGATTCATAAGAGATGGTTCCTCCTGTGTCAGTGTAAATTATTACTTCATTTTTTTTTTTTTTAATCAGGCCTTAATGGATACATTGCCACAACTGCTATATTAAACTGAAATCAATTGTAAGGGCAGACCAGGTCAGATCAGCTGTTCTCACATTTGCGTCACAAGCACAAGTGTCTGATGTGAGTTCCTCTTTTCCACTTCAATTTCCAACAGGAACTGGACCCTTCAACAAAATACCTTCCAATAAGAGACTATGGAAACATTAAGTATCAGTGGCAGACACTGCTTGGAGATGCTTGTGAACATCTTCAGCATTTTCAGGCAAAGAGGCCCTGAGAAACTCAAGGGCTGCAGAGACATTTTACCTTAAGTATCTGCTGTGTTCTGTAACACTTATGTTTCTCAAAATCATTTTCTGAAGGAGGAAAAAAACAAAACTCTTAGCAGCCACAGTGAGTCCCAGATTGAGTTTGCACTAAAGATTTTATGGGATAGACATGTATGCTGTTATCCAGATGAGAAAATGGGCTTGTTATCCCTGGGATCTTGAGAGGATTGAAGAGTCGAGATCTGGAGGCTGAGCTGGGTTCAATGAAGTTAAAAGAGCTCAGGTTGTGAAGGGCACTACAAATCCCACAGGACCCCAACAGCATCCAAGTGCTTTTGATTCTCCCTCATTTCACTTTCCCTGGTGGCCCCATATGCCTTTAGAAACCAGGGCCCAGGGAAGATTTTTCAGCAAAAAGCAAAAAGAGAGCACAGCCAGCTGCCAGACCTGCCTGTAAATAGGTCGCTCTGCAAGGAAGGATGTTTCTGTCTGAGGATTCAGTCATATGCACTTCTAGTTGCCTCCTCTTATCCTTGTTTTGAATGAGCAGTTAAAGCTTCAAGGCTTTTTGAAAAGGCTTTGATTTATGCTGCTCTTCAGAAACAAAGAAGAGCACACAAAGCTCTGGATGCCAAATGCCTTTTAAGTGACTGTGTATCTCACCACCAGAGGAGCAGCATGCATTTGTCAAGGAGCACATCAGCTCTGCACTGGGGCCAGGAGCACAAACCCAAGGCTCATTGGTGCCCAACAAACAACCAGTCCACCTTCAGGCCAATCTGCCCCTTTATGAGCTTTCCCAGAATACAGACAACACTTTTCCAATGTGGTGAGGAGCAATCTTAGAAAACAACCCCCCAGCACAGCCACAAACCTCATTACTCACATATTCTTTGATGTCCTTTGATTTCACGGCTTTGTAAGAATAATATGCAGGGTAAAGTGTGCCAAATATAAGCCTGTAAAAAACAAACAAACAATAAACGGATTAAATTGATTTCCTGTCACAGGGAAAGATTTTTTTTCTTCCCCCTGTGTTTTAAATGTGGTTTTTGCACTGGTAAAATGTGTAAGGATTTGATTTAAGCTTGAGTGCACTAAGTACAGCACAGGAGTGATTTTGCATCACTGAATTCAGAGCAGCTATTTCCAGTGACTTGAATGAAGAGCAGAGATTCAGGCTGGTTTTCCTTTTGCAATGGTTTCCAAACCTGTACCGTATGAGTTACACACACACAAAAAAATAACCAAACCAAACAAAAAAGGCCACCACCACACTTTCAAAAGGAAATTAAAAGTCTGATCTTGAAACAATCTACTGCAACACCAGGAATATGGGAGTATTGCTTTCAGAGAGAGAATTATTTGTCTAAAATCCCTTCCACCTCTGTTCAGTACTCTGAAAAGCTGGCAGATGATAAAGCAGGATTCAGGTTCTACTGGTGCAAGGGTTTGGGTGCCTTATCCTACATTAAACCTGGTACATGGAAGAACCTTGCACCGTTCAGTGAAGTCAATTTGGGCTCATGAAAGGAGAAGGAATCTGCCCACCAAGATATGACAACATGATGAGGCCTAAAAGTACTAGCTCTGCTGCTCTTTCAGACAGCTTCCTTTCATTTTCAAGCCTGAAAGGGATGCTGTCAGCTTCAAGATTTCATGTAAGAAAGAAACAAGGATCTGTAAGTTAAAAATAGCACTACTGAGAAAAACACGTGGAGAATTTTTTATCCTGGGTTCTCTCTGCATCACTGCCTACATGCTTATTCACTTGGATTATTCTGGACGTAAGCATAGGCTTGTCAAAACCACTTTGCCCTGCCCAGGTTTCAGTCAGTTTTATTCAAAGCAGGAGGATGATGCTGCAAAGTCTAAATTTAATAGATTGCAGGGTAATGTTTATTGGCTTGCAACTACCCATCCTTCCGCTGAAGCTTTTGCTTTTAATTCACACAACTGTTTCCTCTGCTCCTGGGAATGAAAATGATCAATGTTTCAATCCCTAATTGTGGAGCCACATGGACCCAGAGCCATCTTTTTCCACCCTGCCAGCAGTGACTGTGTGCTGAGGGATTCATAATTACAGTCAAGTCCATTACGTGCATAAGGCATTAAAAATTAACACTCTGGGATATGGTGCACCATCATCCTTCCCGGAGCTCAGGAAGGTATTTATGAAAGAATGGGGTGAGCCAGCACACATCTTGATTTCCAAAGCAGTGACCAAAGGCAATTTGCCTGCTATTCATCATGCTCACTGTAGCATGGCTTAGCAGAACCTGAAGCACAATGCAGACTTCAGAAAAGCAGCTACTGAGCGAGGAGATTCAACATTTTACAGAGGCTTCCCACTGGTTTCAAAAAGCTTTGCTGGTAGCAGTCAGCTCCAAACCTATTTCACTCAGAGAGGCTTGTGCTATCTGCAAGGATCAGATACAAACACTCAGAAAGATCCTGGGAAACCAAAAGTGGTTTTGTCCTTTGCAGTATCCCACCAAACAGCAACATGGGTTAAGGCAAGGATGAACACACACACAGTGGCTTGATTCTGCTCTCACTGAGATGTAACAACAAATATTCCAAGTTCAGTGGTAGCAGGACCTAATCCAAAGAAGGAAGAGTTCACAAAAAGAAGAAAGCTACAATACTCAGAAAATAACAGCTGAGCACATGAAAAATATTTTTGGCTCTCCTTATAAAATGCACTGCAATGCTGTTCTTCCTTCTTGGCCTAGGCTGGCTGCTATCTCACGCTTTTATTTCCTGCAAATAATCACTGAATGATTGATATTCATTTCCTCAGTTTGTGCTGGTCACAGAAAGTCACTGGATCCTGAAGAAGCAAATGGTTTATAGGAATACCAGAAAATAATTAGTTGCAGACAATAAATATTTGGGGGAAAAAATCATGTGAGGGAAGGAAATTGCAATAATTTTGCATGTGCAGAGCAAGGGACAGTTAATAAGGTGATGTGATCTCCCTAAACTGGAGATTCAGAGTTTCACTGATTTGCCTTGCAGGGTGTTGTGTGCATATATGGACATTTATTACTGCTGTGGTTTACCAGACTGAAAATTGTTTTAAGGAATGTTGGAAGCCAGTCTTGTCACTGCTGTGGCTTACTAAGTGGCTTGGGTCACAATCTCTGGGTACACTCTACAAATGGAAGAGAAAAGATGTTTGGGCATTTCTGTAAAGCATATTCAGGGGTTTTAAAACAAATATTTGTGTATAGGGATATTCCAAAAAGTCTCTTGAAGTTACTGTCTTCACTTGGCTTTGGATCAGGGTCGAGTACAACTGATTTAATTAGAACACACATCAATCCTGCATCTCTTCCCTCAGTTCCTCTACCCTGCTGAAGACAATAATTCTCACTTCCCCTTCATCCAAGCTTCCTGCATAATTAAAGTTATTGTTGATTCCTGCCTTCCTTCATCCCCATGCTCAGAATGTTGCCAAAGCACTCGTTGTGCACGCTACAAACCTGGGGCTGACCCTTTGTCCCTCCTTTGTCCCTTGAAAGCCATCAAGTCTTTCTTTGTCCAAGTCTCCTTTCCACCTCTGTGTGCTCTCCACCCCACCTGCATGCACCCATGTTTAACCTCTCTCCCCTGTCTCAGTCACCCCCACTCCCAGCCTAACAAGTGGAGTAACTTATCTTTGCTTTCCATGCCTGAAAACGTTGTTCCTAACCCCCGTTGGTTTGCTCTTTTATCACATCCTCCTCAGTCCCTTCTCTCCTTTAATGACTGCAGTGCCACCACCCTCTTCCTCTGCTGTTCCCTGCATTTATTCTCCCACACCCTGGAGCTCCTGTGCTCCCTGCTCCCCATTGCACATCAGTTCACTGCCTCCAAAACAAGCTGTTCCCTGGCAGTCATCCTGACAGCCCCCAGTCTGAGCCTTCAGCTCAATTCCAACCACATCATTCCCCAGCCCTCCTCATCTCCATATCCTTCTTCTGCCACGCTTCTGATGCTCCTGAACCAGATCACAGGACCTTCAGCTTTCTTCCCACCTCCCCAGAATCACAGGACTGCCCCTCAGTTCCCTCCCACAGCTGCCAGCTGAGCTGAGACTCAGATGTGCTGTGACTCTTTCTGTGTTACAGGCACTGTCTGTCTGTCTGTCTGTCTGTCTGTCTGGTGCTGGCCAGCCAAATTAATGAGCTACCTATGGAGTCAGCACTGCAGCTTTTACCTCCTGGCAGACAGTGCTATAAAACAGTCTCCTAGCCAGCAGCTAATTCTTAGGAATAATGTAGGAAATTTATATTTGAGACCTCTCTCACCCATCTGTTTTGGCCACAACCACTTTGCAGACCCAAAAGTTTTGCAGCAGTGGAAAAACAGACAACTCAAGTCTCATTTCCTTAGGAAACCAGCATCAACTCACTCCCCACCCATTTCCATCTTTCAAAGCTTCTTTGAATGAGCTGTGTACCCAAGAAAGCCTTGGCCCTTTTACCTTCTGTGCAGAAGCAGATATCCTGATCACCAAACCTCCCAGAGCTTGATGTAGAGTAGCTGCTACATTGAAAGCTACAGAAATGTTCTGCAGCCTGGGCTAAAGCAAGCACACACCCTCAGGGTATAGAGAGAGACACAAGGAAGTGGTGACATCCATCAGTGAGCTAGGAAAAGCTCACTTGCAGCACTAAACAAATCACCACAACAGCCTAACAGTTCCAGCACTGCTCTGTGCTGGAGGTCTACACCAATTACAATCACCTTGGAAAAGGACAAAACAGCAGCTGTAAAGAAATCACTGAAGAGTCAAGTAATTGTGCAACAGGAGGCAAAAATCTAAGTAAAAGGTTAGACTGCCTAAAGAATAGGATAAGGATTAATGCTGAAAATCCTATAATCCTATTAGGCACCTCAGCAGCAGCAATCCCCAGCCTGGGTCATTACATGTGCTTCTGGTCATTCTTTGTCAAAAGGGAGACACGAAGGCAGGAGGGGAAAGAGAAGGACAGGGAAAGTGGAAGTGCACTGGGGAGGATCCATAAGAGGGACTGGAAAGGCTGTAAATGTTTCTTTTGCAACAAAGACAGATAACTGAGGTTTTATTTACTCCTCCTGATGCAGAGCAAGAGGATGCTCAACTCAATAAAGAGAACAAAGGCAAAAGGAGGGGAGAAACCCCCTGTACCACCAGGAGATATTATGTGGAATGGATGAACTGTATTTATTAATATAATTACATTATGTAGGATTTGGGGTTTGGGTTTCATTATTCAAGTTTACCATTAAATGACACAGGAAAGGATGAAGCTTCCCATATTGTGGGGTTTCCTGATTGTCAGGGGAATAGTAAAGCAACTGAACTGTTGGCTCCTCTTTAACAAACCCTGTCATATTCCAGGGGAGCAGCTGCATCATCACCAAAGCTCCTTCTGTCTCCACTTAGCAGGACAGCCACAGTCAGACCTGGCTATAAAATCCTTCTATTCCTTCTGTGGATCTGCTGGAGCAGTGGTCTGACCATCAAAGAGCACAGGCTATCCCAGATGTGCCAGTATTCCTGATAGAATCCAGGCTACACTCTGGGGAGCAGCCTCAGAGCTGCTACCATGACCTGGGAGGGTCCCACAGGACATCTTGGGTTCTGATTTGGTGATGCTGCTTTCCTCATGGAAAAGTCACTTACCCACAGAATTAACTCTCATGCTCCATAAAATAGCCCCTGCAATAAATGGAAAGGCTCTTAGTGATTCTCAGGAGTTCTTGCCAGGACTCAGGTTACCTCCAGAAATGCCTGCACATCCACTCCCTTGAGCACTTTTAACCACAGGGGTATTTTCTGGGTGCTGTTACAAATACACCAGCAGGGGCTATCTACATCCCAAGGCTCCCAAGTTTTGCTCCTCTAGTTACCATGCCACCAGCAGTGTTTGGGCTGCCCAAACACTTAGAACATTGTACCACCACAACACAAATAGAACTGCCCTTA